CTCTGAGGCTTGGTCAAAGCCCGGCGGGACCTCCGAGTTTTCAGTACGAGCGGAGGGGAGGCGAAAACGTCGCAGGCTGGGGGCCGAGCCTCGATTTTGCTGTCGCTCACGGGCTGGCCGTCGATGCTCGTCTTGTAAAAGTAGTCCCCAGGCTGCGACGCTGAAATGCTCAGGAGGCGAAGCTTCTTCCGGAAACGAGGTCCGAGGTCCAAGCTGTAATGCAGAAAGTTCGCAGGGTGTTGTTCCTGGCCAGACGGAACCCGACGGAACCCTGTAAGCTCATGTTGGCACAATGTGCCAAAAGAAATGAGGCCAGTGCCTGATTCTAACGATCTGCGCCACCACCATGCCTCATATGACTGGTGTCACAATCTTCAGCTTTCCCCATGCGCTTTCAGGTCGAAGCACCCTCCTGTTTCAGGCTGATGCCATCATGCACACCACGAAGCAGGGTGAAGAGTTTCGATGAGCTAGATGAGTGCCTGCCTTGTTTGGAGCTTTCCCTGTCGCATTGATTCGTTCAAAGATGACTCGTTTTGCTCAACCGAAGGAAAAGTGCCCAGGGAACACTGAAGAAGTGGGAGCTTAGGAATCTGATAGTGCCTGGATGCGGATGGCAAAAACCGCATCCTTTGCCCAATTCAGTCTGTTTTTGGCTTATTTCTCTTATCTGGATGAAGGCTTACTGTCGCGAGTTTCTTCAGTGACCTTTTTGGGGCTGGCGGCACGCAGGTGTGCTTCCTGAACCTCCTTTCTCGAAGGAAGGGGTCGTAGAGCAGCACACCAGAAAACTGGAAACGCAGGGAAAGCTTGTGAAAGGCCGGTAGGTGTAAACTTCTCATGTCTCCGGCAAGAGCAGAGTGTGGGCTGTTGAGCTGGTGCAGCCGAGCTCCTCCGCACAACGCAAGCGACGCACGTTGCCTCGGTCCTTGCGCACGGCTACCAGGTAATAGGCAATGCCGGGTGTGGCGTGCCAGCCCGGTGGCATCGTCCACCAGGCCACCCAGTGAGATGGCCTCAAGTCGGTCTCTACAAGCTCTTCGATATGTCTCATGTTGTCCTTGCCGTAGAAATCTGCCCAGAAGGCCAACTGAATCACCCCAAACTTCTTTACGATGCGCCAGATCTTGGCGCGTGATTCAAAGTCGGCCTCCGTGAAGGAGTAGGTGGCCACAAATAAGGCATCCTGAAGCTTGCTTGTGTCTAAATGGTTCGCGAGATCATCACTCAATGAACTCTCCAACACAATCCCCATCGTTCGACCGGATCGCACAATTCCTTTTGGCAGATCCGTACCAAGGACTGCTGGCACGCCAGAATAATGAAGCCAGTATCTCTGCATTAGAATCATAGTCGGAAAATCATAAACGAAGTGGACTCCGGTATAGCCAAGGTCAAAAAACGTCGCAGGGAGATTGCCAGTGCCGCCTCCAAACTCAACTACCTGTTCTAGTTGGGACAACTCTAGCCCAGGCACGGCTTTCCGAAGCACCCTCCAATGGTTCAGTTGCTCCACTCGGTGCATCTGAAAGCGCCCTTGAGGGCGATGCCGGAACTTGACCTGTGGAGCCCCGAAAGGGGGTGCCAAATGCAGTGCATCAGCATATGAAGCATAATCGGCATCACCAAGTAGTTCATCCAGAATGACCTCACTTGTCTGTTGAGGCCAGTGCCACACATGCGGAGGCCACATCTCCACAACCTGGCGAGCTGCGAAGTTGGCGCAGTCGTCGGGAGTTGTCTCGTGCACAATCAGCTCTCGCATCCAGGAATCCCATTCGTCTCCTGTGGCTGGACCCAGCAAGGCAGCAAGCTTCGCACCGTCTTTGCAAAGCTGCTTCCCCAAAGCATCAGTGCGACAGCTGGGCTGGTAGCCAGGGTGAGCCTTGCGCCAGGCTGCCAGTGCTTTCCTGTATTCTTCAAATTCAGGGCCAGTTGGCATGGCCAGTGCCGCCTCTTCCAGCCGATTCAACTTCTCACAACTGTCATCACGAGGATTTGCAGGTGCTGGCCCAAGTTGCTGCATGAAGGGGGATGTTCCTGCGAAGCCGGAGCTCCTTTGAAGAACAATGGCAGCAAGAAAAGTGGCCGCTGCATGGATCCAAAAAAGCATTGAGATTACGAGCCGAGCAAGCTTGATCCGAAAAGGGAGCTGGGCAATCAACATCTACAACTGAAGCTATCTAGAACATGTCTCTTCAGATTTGGCTCTATCTTCAGCACGGCCTATGCAGGTAGGCCAGCTCCGTCAGCACTTCACGAGCGGGGGATCGGGGCACAACAGTCAAACAACTGGACCAATCTGGACCAATCTGGACATCCTGGTCCTAGGCGATCTGAATGCGACACAACTGGGTTCTAGTGAGGCTTACCCAACGTGTCTCTTTGCATTGGTGCCCTGAAGGCGGAAGTCGACCAAGACATGTCATCCCATGTCTCTCTAATCGCGTGCGCATACAGCCAACATATGTGGCAAACAATCAAAAACGAAAGTGCAGTAGTGGCAACAATCGCTATCTGACTTGCGACACTCATTCAGACACCTGTGCATCCAGACAGATGTCCGTCATGCCCGGATACTTGGAACCCCTGAACCTCTCTCCAGGACACACGGAAGAATCAGCATAAGACATGTAACCACCATGCCTCACAAACAGCCAGGTTCACGGGCGATCGCTGGAGAGCCGCATGAAACCCACCCGGATTCCCAAGCCAACCGAGGCAGACCGACTATCAGCCGCTGAGCTACAAGCAGCAACTCTTGCTGGACAACGCTGATTCCAAAAAACACCCCAGCGTGGAGTTCTTGGAGCTGAGGTGCCAGCTAGACTTGGAGGAGCAAGGACAGCGATGGCATGGAAACGACAAACATGTGAAAACCGTGGCGTGTTGTTGGTCAGCTTCGAGTGCTCAATTGCTTTGGAGTAGAGCTTGGTCAAGTGGGGCTGGGGGCTCTTCAGGCCTGTAAGGGGCATCGGCTGCGAAACTCAGATAAATACTCGTTGCCAGATGCGGGGAGCCAAACGCAGCACGTTATCCCGTAAAGCAAAAGCAGGACATGCTCCGCAGTTGATTGAACTGCTACGGCGTTTCGACTTGCAACGATTTTCGTCTGCTGCTCGACTATTGGTCCGTTGATGCTCAGCTGCCATCGCTTGACGAATCCCGAGCCGGTGAGACTTGAAACTACTGTTCAGGAACCCTACACATAGTACCTTTAAAGGGGACCCTACTACTCTTCTAGAACCCTATAGCCCTAAACCCCTAAGCGCTAAATTGACTAAAGCGATCTGAGTGCCGACGCACTGCGTGACCTTCAGGTGCAGAGGTCTGCAAACTCCGAGATGATCAAGCATAGCCGCAAGCCTACCAAGCGATCCCCACGCCGGATCTCGAGATTCTCGAGGTACGGTATTGCCCTGGTGCATAAGGTCCTTCGATTCGCGCTTGCTTTCCGGATCGTTCAGCTTGCTGAGTACTAATTACTATGCCCTCCTCGTGCCAATCTGCGGCACCCGAATCCTCCTTGGAGGAAGTGCCTCTGGGAATCGCTGCTCGAGTCCGAGAGAAGCACTTTAATGTAGGACCGGTGAATCGCTCTGGTGGTGGGAGCCTGTGCTTTTCGATGTCAGGTCGTTCATCTGGCGTTCGTGCCTGCGAAGTCAAGAGCCATCATTGGCAGGACGACGCCGTGCCTGTTCGCTTTGAGTAAGAATCACGAAACCTTTGCCTCAATGCTGCTGCGCTCCGCCGTCGCTGCTCAGGCCAAGCCTCAGTCGAGTACCGCAACACTACCACACTGGGTGAGAATCCAAGACTCGACAGAAGTCAACCTGAGACCGTGTCCCAGAATGTGGCAGATGCGTAGTGCACCAGCGGCTGCTCACTGCACAACGACTCAAATAACTCAGTCTTGTTTCGCAGCTTCGACGACTTTCACCTAAGGGCATCATGCCTCTGCAGTCTGGAGAGGGACATTGGCTCTGGTCGCCATGGCGCTGGCATTCTGTCGACCTAACAATGTCATACGAGAGCAGGAATGCCAGAAAAGCGGGGTTTGGAGAGGACTCCAGCACCGAGCAAGCCACTACATTGCGAAAGCCCGGCGTCCGGTCCTGTCGGTCACGGTGCGTCGTATTCTCAGCTCTGCAGCTTCAGCAATCAAGGCAACTGACCACAAAGGTAGCAGCAACAAATATGGTCACCATGAGCTGCAGTGCTCTGTAAGAAGACAGTGTCCGGAAAGTGACGACCGCTGGTCGTGCGATGCACCGTTGGATTCATGAAGGGGTATGGATTGTAAGCCTCGGCAAACCGCCGGCAGACTGCATGGCGATCATCAAACTCTCCTAGGCATCCGGCTCCGGGACCAGGAGTCTCGAGGCATGTCCTGAGCTGCAAGAGATTCGATCAAATCTGAGAGCCTTTCTCAGAATGTTCGGGCACGGGGCTTGCTGCCAGCGAATCCGAGAACGGTGTGGCCATGGGCTTGCTGTGCAATCTTGAACCTCGGACAGCACAGGCTGGGCTCGATCCAGGGCACCCGGCAAAGTCCTCTGAGGAGCCGGCGACCAACTCGGCATGATGCTCAACCGCACCTGCAGGAATCGCGAAGCAAAAACTTCGGATTTGCAGAGCAATTCTTAAATACACACTGCTTTGCTGCCAAGTGGCATGCCGCCGAAGGGTACTATCTACTGCTGGATCAGCCATGGCGTCCAGCCAAAATGGCAGCAGGCGAGCCACCAGCATGGACAGACAAGCTCTTCGCGGACCACAGCGCTGCGCATCGAACCACATTAAAGCCGTGCAAACTGCATCATGTTTGAGAGCCATTGCAAATTCTGAAGCATGGTCAACTTGACTGACCGTGCTGTGAAACCGGCAGCCGTGTCGAACCCCACATCAGTGGGCAGGACGTGCCAGGGAGTGGAGGTGTTGAGTGCAGTAGGGTTGCTCTTACGCAAGAAATATAACAGTGGGGTGCCGACATGTCCGTATCACCCCAATGCATCCATCATGGCACATCTGTCTCCGAATCGCTCGTCGTCCACAATACCTGCCAGCCACTGAGCTTGCAGCTGTTGCAACAACCCAGCTACAACACAAGGGCACCACACTCCTCAGGCGGGCCATAAGGGCCTGGGACAGAGCTATGGGGGGGTAATGTGCAGGTTTGGTTCTGGAATTTCCGGATCAGGAGTCTAAGCCGGGCACCACCAGAGAGCTGTTGCGTCTCGCACTCCACAGCAAGCTTGAGCCTCATGGCCTGGACCAGCGTTTTCGTAACATAGTTAACAGAGCTGCAGACACACATGGGCAAGAAGGCACCTGGCCTCGTTGCCGAAGATGCGCAAGCATTCTTGCTCCGTCCAGAAATTGCCACAATTCTCTGCCCTGCGAAAGGTGCACCAGATGCGCGACAATTGATACACGTTGACCGCATGGTCCCCCTCCTGAACCAGAGGTAGTTCCTCAAGGCTTCCTGGTGCCGCGAATAGTCTCCCGCCACAGGCATGCAATATTTGGGATCATCTTTGTCCCACCACGCCTGCCGGGACGAGCTTCGGTGCTCCGACAGACATAAGGTGCACCTGGCCTTGCAGGTGCAGCTGCCCATCCTTCCTGTCTCATCTGTTGTTTCACAGTCGAGGTCGGTGTCACAGCTTCTGCCAGCCTGAGGGAAAGAGGGAAGACCAACTTGAAGCGACCCTAAACCCTAAACCGCGCCCCTCTCCCAGGGCTCCGGGCCTGCTTGGACTGTGCGGGCGGGGCACATTTGCCATCCCTGCAAAGGACGGGACAAGAGATACGAATCAGAAGCACAATGTCTTGATTCTCTCTCCCGCACACAACACTACGCGTCCTGCAAAGCAGAAGAGAATTCAAGCACTGACCAAGCAGATCTTTGGAGCTTAGCAGCCTCGCAGCTTTGCAGCTACACATGCTGTTGTCAAGCCCCGCCTGTCCCTCCAGCCAAATTGGCAAAAGACGTCCTCAGCCGCCAGCGCGCCTCATGACATCTTCGAGTCTGCTCAGTTCAAACCGACAAGATTCCACACACTCGTAGCTCGGTAGGTGCGGCCTATTGGAAGCGAGAAAAGTCGGCGGCAGCGAGGCTGTGGTTCACCCACGTTGCATCGCATTCCGGGCTGACCTGAGCCAACGCAATGGAAGGCTCCGTTCAAGGAGTCCTAAACCTTTGGTTTTCAGAGCCTGAGCCATCTGCATTCTCGGTCCTCTGAGCAAGTCATGTCCTCTTCGCGCTGGGCTCTGCAGTATTGAACCTGAGCTTCCAGGACTTGAGCTTGCAACTTGTACCTCTGCCTTTCATGATCGCACAGCCAATGTGCAACAGAGCAGCCCAGTATGGGTTTTGTCCGCCGGTCGGGTCGGAAGGGCAGTAAAACCCAAGATGAGGGCAGTCGAAATCGCTCTCACAGGTCTGGTTGGCATTGTACCTGAGACCAGACCGTATGCAGCTTTCGCTCTGATGCAGCGGTGGCGCTTCACCTGCTACTCCCGGTGACAATCCTGTTGCAGAAAAATTCCGAAGCGTAAGGCAGGTACGGCTGAAAAGGCATGCAAGCGCCATCCAAGCATCTTCGCATTCCATAGATGCAGTCCTGCGAGCTAGAGTGGGTGGGCAGACAGTACCCTGAATATCGCCATGCCAGTGCACCGGAAACATCCTGGTCGTTCGCACAAGGCATACCGACCTGAGCGGAGACGTCTAGTTTCACTGAGCCGGAACGACACTCCGTCCGCCGTGAACCGCAGCAGGCGCACCTTGTTGCGCCAGCGACACACCCAGTTTGTCCACTGCGTCAGCGGCCGCGGATCCCACCTGAGAAAGGGTCAGGAAGTCTGTAGCTCCCGAGTGTCCCATCCACGCGTGCGGGTTCCTGAATTCCAACGGACGTGTCTACACTTCGACATCTGTTGGGCAATTTCACCACCAAGCAGAACATTCAAGTCACAGATGCGACACCTAGTTTTTCGAGCATGCTGTGCCAACCTGACTCGTTCTCGCATCGCTGTGTCACTTGATTTGTTTGCACCCTCTTCGTTCTTCTGGCAAAACTGTGGCCTCTTAGTTCTTCCCTGGTCTGGTGAACAGCGTTTCTCTCACTGAACGCAGCCTTGGCCTTCACGCTTTGCTCTGCCCCCGCTACCATGAGCCCTGCTGCCGCTAGCTAGCACCAGCTTCGGGATAGAAAGACGGAAACGGCGCCAGTATACGGAAAGGCGAGAAATAAGCAAGCGCTTTCCGAAGCTTCAGCCGAGCCACCACAGTGCCAGGCACACGTGCTGAGCATGGTCCGCAATCGTCCTCACTTGAGATTCTTCTGCCCGTGCTGGTGCCAAGCACACGAACCGACCTGTCGACACAGTTGCTGCAGTCTCCAGGCGGATGACACATTTCGTCCGACGGGCAGAAGACCTGGCAGAAGCCAATGGCGAGCTAAAGCTAACAAAAGAAAGGCACTCAAGCCAGCTGTGGTTCGGCTCTGGCGGAGCCTGGCCACCGTCTGCGTGGCAGACCTCACCGGCACTGACACGGCCCTGTCTTTCACGGAAACTCCAGAGGCTCCCCCCCGCCACTGCCTCTGCAGACGGCTGCACGCAAATCGAAAAGGCACGATCTGTGGCACTCTTCCATCCACATGCCTTATCTTCTCAGAAGCTGCGAGTTTGCAGACTGCAGACTGCAACTGTGAGACGCCTTGCAGTCCTCCTTGCAGTCCGAGTCAAAGCTGCAGTAGTACTGCCGTGGATTTCTTGCGTTGCACACCTGCAAGCAAGTTTCCATAAAAGTTTTTGTCCGAAGACTCCCCGACCTTTCTCGACTGGCCGACGCTGGCCTCAGGGGTGACCTGCTGCTTGGGCACCGACTGGAGTCGTCGCGCCGCATCCTGACAAGCACAAAACAATCGTCGAACGTGCCCGAATCAACACCGACATCTCCTGTGCCGATCGTGTCTCTATCACCTCAGCAAACGCTGAGGCAACTCATCATTCCTCCACACATCGTTTGTCTCTCACGTCTAAGTCTAAGATCAGAGCCGCAGTTCTAAGAGATAAAAAGATCTCTCCGATGCGGGCGAACCTGCAGAGGCAGAGCGGAGCATCCGACCGGAGCTTCGTGTGCTCTTTCCGAGGCGGGCACTCGGCAGAGCTCAACACACCATCAATGTTCGTGTCAAGCTGCAAGAAGAGCGCTTCCGGCTGTGTGATGTTCTGTCCAGGCACTCCGGCAAAACTCTCACAATGCACCTTCAATGGACAAGGCTTGAGGAGAGTGCAATTCCGCATCGGCCTCAATCTGGACACCTTCGATTCGAAATCCTTCTCCACTTTTGCGGAAAGCCGCAAAGCCTCCGATCCGCGACCGCTAGGCAAGTCCCGCACTACGCAAAGCGCATCAGAAGAACAGGCAAGCAGTATCAGCATTTCCATTGCTGAGATACGTGCTCATTGGAAAGTAAGCATCAGCAGGCTCCGTCCGCTGAATCACTTCCGTTGCTATCTCCCTCACCGTTGTACCTGGCCAAGTTACGCGATAATCAGTGCAAGAATTGAAAAGCTTCGTCGATGGCCTGCGCTGTCTCTCCAATACACCGTTGGCATATCGGGAGCCCTGTGGGCACGGTGCAGAATCAAAGCATCTCGGAAAGTTATCGCAGGCCTGCCTGTCCTCACATAGCAAGGTCAGCGTGTTCCACTGGCAATAGTCCGTGGGACAGGAGGTGATGTGAAGGAAGGTCATGCCTTGGTGGGAGAACTCCGAGGTCGAACTTTCTGCGCCTTCAGCACGGTCCCTGCTGAGCGCTCGACAGGGTCGAAAGCAGATGCCTTGCCCCTGCACGTGCGCATGTTCATCGCAATGCGAACGCTGCTGGCAAGGGCCGCTTGCCGCTAGCCTCAGCACATTCCTTCCCCATGCCACATTCCTCGTTGTACCTCATGGAACAAGTAAATGGAGCCCACTCGAGTGGAATGGTGTGGGGCACTGGGCCGGGACCGAGAATGGCGGATTCTCGCACTGACAAGTCGTCGGAGCTGTGCCATTACCATATGCACAGTTTGTGCAGATTTTGCCGTCCTGTCAGCCATAAGGAAACACTCCGGACCTGCCTCCTGCCCTTTGGGATGTGAGATGTCGTTGGTTTAGGCAGGTGCATGATCTGTGCCGCCTCGCTTTCAGTCAATGAAAGCAAATCTGTCGCAACTATTATGTGCTTGCTTCGGTGTCGGGTGCCTAAGGATCCGTCTGTCCTGGCAGCCCTTTTCGCGTAGGAAGAATCCTTCCCGAAGCTCTCGACACAGATCGCTGTTCTGGTTCAAACCTTCACCGGAAACGCTTTGGATGCAACAGTGGTTTGTACCGCCTCTTGCAATACTGTCAGAATCGCTGCTCCCCCAGATCTTTCGAGATCACGGAAGGTTTAGGGTCAACACATTGACATCTGGTGCATTGAGAAGGACCACGGTACCTGGACTCTTCACGGCTGAACTCGCAGCAGGCGCCTTTTGTCAATGAATTTCCGCGGAGTCCGATCTTGAATTATGCAAGCCCTCTGCAGATATGCGCACTGGAGCACTTCGAAATACTGTGTCTGGGCTGCACATTGACCTTACACACAGAGGCGCAGGAGGCATGGCATACCAGGTCTACCATGCAGCAGAGGGCACGCAACTGGCCGTGCTTGCAACTGAGCTCCAAGCTCAGGCAGGCAGCCAGAAGCAACCACATGGCCTCGCTAGAAAGGGAGCAGCGACACTTCAGACGGCAAAGGGCCGAGGTGCCTTCATCGCCATGTGGAAGGACCCTCACCTGTTAGCGAAGCGTTTCGGGCATCCCATAATCGCACTATAATTCTACTCCAAGTTTACTCTAGCCGCACTTTCATGGTACTGGAATCATGATTTCTCGGGACTCGAAGGGAAGATTTGTCATACCGATCTCTACACAACGCAGGGCCAGGGCCTCCTCGGACCATGATGGAACTCCGACATCCTTCCGACTCCCTGTGAACCGAAGCCGCATTGAAGTATAGACGCTCAGAGAAATTTTTGCTCCGCCGGTGGAGTCTAGGGTTTAGAGTTTAGGGGCTAGGTTTCTCAAAGACGCCCGACACTTACAGGACCCCGAGACCCAACTAAGGGGTCTGCATGAACGAACCCCGGGGTTCGTTGCTGAAGAGGCCTTAATCATGTCTGCAACCTCCACCACATGCCCGTTTAGCATTCATTCAGCTTTGCTTTAGCGAAGGGAGGAGTGGGGAGCGGAGGGGAGGGTAGGCAAATAACTCAAACAACAGACATTTATGCTAGATTGCAGGGTATGGTCCGGGTACAGTAGTTTTGGACTCCCATGAGTTTTAGGTGTAGGCCCTGAGGTTTAGAGCCGAGAGGATGCCCTTGTGGAGCCATAACTGGCTGCCTTTCTTCTTCTGCGGTTGTAACAATGCTGTCGCAGTGAAACACACCTGTTTGCTTGTCGCAGATGCGGATTCGTGTGAAACGTGGAGGACATCAAAGAATCGGCCCCTTGGCGTAGCCCGCAGAAATCAGGGAAGACACGCCTTGCCACATATGCGCAGACGCTAAACCTAACTTTCTCATCATGGACGCACCCGACACAGCAAAGCAACCGACTCTCACCAGCCTGGGTGTTTGTCAGACAAGCCATCGTCCATGGAAGCATAGCCGCTGTGAGGCAGGTTTCTAGCCTGCAGAAACACCATCGGGAAACGTATCACAACCCCACATCCTCAATCCCCATGACTCAATGCAACTACTGTGCTCATGCACCGTGGCCTTCACATAGGTGGCCTTGCCCACACGTCTAACGGCACAATAGCGGTCCCATCTCGCAAAGACGGGCCAAGCTCTCAAAACAAGCACAGACAATGCATGGCCAGAAAGCTCTCGCCTGTCGTCGACGTCGCCAGGATTTCGGCAAAGTATGACCTCAAACTGATCAGAGATCCACCCCAAGCCCCAAGGCAAAAACGAGTCAAGCCATGAACATTCGAGACCAGCTGATCCTGTAGGTTTTGGTCCTGTGCATGAACGCGGCGTCTGCCACACAAGGACACAGCCTGGCGTAAGTTTTCGCACCTCCATTTCCGCCACTTTGGTGCAGTTTCTCTGAAGCCGCGTCCGCCTCCAAAGCTGCTCCTGCTGGGACTTGAGAGCAAGTCTTGCTCGGACGTCTCATGGGAGTTTGGGACTCAAACCGTGGCACAGGAACTGAAGCTGCAGCTTGAGGTGAGCATTTGACCGTGAATCGGAGGCTTGAGTCCGGCATTGCCGGCGAGACTTCAGCCAGCATGTACGGAAACACTGCACGCAAGGACGGCTTCTACTGGGCCGTTTTGAACATTCGTGATCTTTGTTCCTTCGGAAGATACTGTACTGGAACTACACATTCACTCAATTTTCAAAAGCTGTATAGTGTAGGGGTACCTGCCTAGCCGTCTTTTCTGTAATCTTTCCTGCTGACAAGCCGTCCCCGAGGCAACAGACTGATATGCTAAAACTCCAGGTTCCTCGCAGGAGTTCAACTGCTTCCTGCCAGGAGACTCACCAGGGTACACTCAACCATTTTTTAGAAACATGCATACAGATTCATACATCCATGCTTCTGTCGAAACTTGGCCAGCTCGGCTTGGCGATGGGTGCCAGGAGCGCGTGCTGGGGCTTTGACTGGAAGGGGACCTTGGGTCCACGCTCCTGTAGCAACAGCAGCGGATACGCGCAGTTCGCTTGCAGCGCAGGGCATATGTGCCGCTCCTTAAATGCAGCGTTCTTATCCTTGAGCAAAGCCTGGCAGGGCTATGCGAGCTTCTGGCTGACCTGACAACGAAATACCTCCTGGATGTGCATGGGCCTGCAGCCGTTCTTTTTGGCTCTTCAGAATTATCTTCTGCATGTGCGCGAAGTGCAGCTTTCCGCCATTGCTGCAAGGGGCAGGCAGCAAAACCGTATCCAGCACACGCAAGGCGAGGCCAGTGCTGGCCTACCCATCTCATTGAAGCAAGGCTTTAAGAGCTGCTTCACCTCCAGATTTGCTTGTGTTTGGTGGAGATCGCTGGAGGCCAGCCCGAATTGCCTCGCTCCACGTGTAGTTGTATGCCATCGCTGCTGGCATTAAACCGTCGACAATGACCTGCTGCAAGCGAGACTGCAACACCAAGTCCAAACCTTTCTCGACTTCATGTATTCAACTGCCGCTCACAAAAGCATCAGCCAAAATTGGATTTCTCACGCGGGCTGCTTCCAGAGCTCGGGCTGTCGTAATCATTTTGGAAGCTATCACTGTAGGCTCCGTCGGAACGTTCGTCATCGAAATCCTGGTCGCGGATTACATGAAACATTGTGAACCACAAGCATCAGAGAGGGTCATCACATCTTCTCCTCACTGCTGTAGCTCGGTGCCGTCGCGGCTGGCTTCGGCAAGTCTGCGGGGCCTTGCGAGACGTAGGCAAACGAAATTGCCGCTTGGAGTCTCAGTCTCAGAGATGCAAGTCTCAATACTGAGCATCCAGCTCGCAATGGGTCTTTTTGGGGAGGGCGCGGTTTCCTGTCGACCTTGGCTTCGGACATCCGTGAGAACCACCAGCCCCAGCACAGCTTCGCCACGCGGCCTGCAGTTGCTGGGCTTCGGCTTAGGATGGGCGGCTCATTTTTGTGTCTTCTGACGAAGTCCTGCCAGCGCAGGACTATGCAAGTTGGAGCGAACGTACAGAGACGGGGAATCCTGTAGGGCAGCAGCAGCATCAGCTTCCAAGCCCAAACTTCCTCAGCCGAATTGCATCGTGCAGACGAAATCGAAGGACTACTTTCAAATCGTTTAACGAACTCCATGGCAGGCTGGAGGCGAATGCCCCGCAGAGGCTGCACCGTCCTCTAGCTGAGAGGAATTTAGGGGTTGAGGGTCTAGGGTATTTAGGGTTAAGGGTTACGGGTTGCAAGTGTTCGCCTTGTCTCTCGGTTCGCGGACGTCAAGTTTTGCCTGGCATCTTGCCGAGTCCGGACGTTGAACGTCGGGCGAAACCGGCCGCCGCGCAAAGGAGGACGAGGGTCCTCAAAAACCACAGAGGCTTTCTGATCTTGTGATGACTGCTACCAGGTGGCATCCTCCTTCTGCGGTGAAAGCGGTGCAGAAGGGCCCTCACCACGCCTGCAGTGTCAAAGCTCAGTAAAGCAATGCTTCCCTCAAACCCCCGAAGCAAGAGGCCTGGATGGTGAGAGCGCAGTTCGCAAATTCACAGGTGTCCCTCCTGCCAGATGACAACATCTTGCGCTGGCTTGCGCATATGTTCGAGAAACTCTCCTCAACACGTGAACGACACATAAGTACTCTGTTTCTACAGAACCAAGGCTTGGCTGATCAAACAGTTTACAGACAACATCAGACAAAGAAGCGTTGCAGTTTTGTAGGCGGGTGTTGGCCCAGCAGCATCAGCCTTGTGCTGGAACGCCCGCGTCCACCGCTTGGAAAGCTCTGCAGAAGTCCACTGGGGCGATGCGCCCGTCTTTGCCACCCAAGCACCTTCAATCAGTTTATCGAGAAGTGCCAGAGAAGACGTCGCCATTTGATGAGGAGGACAAGCGCCCTTGCGCCCTTCAGCCGAGGCTCTGGAACAGCAAAGCCAGTTCCTGAAAGCCCAGCTGCGGCTCCATGGCCCATGCCATTCGCGCGACCTGAAAGGCTTTGAAGAAAGAAACTCTCTCGGTGAAGGCTGCCCACGATTGCTACTGCGAGTGTTCGGGGCCTGTCTGGGGCCGAGCCAGCCACGTCTGGTGGCATCCAAGCTCCTGAAAACCTGGAGAGGAGCAACCCCACGACGTCTCATCGAGCCACCTTGCTTTCACAAGGGTCTTGCATAAGCAGAACAGGATTCGAGCTCCCGGAATGCAGCCGGGACACACATGCGCTGTAAGATGCTGCGAACAGCCCCTTTGCAATCCGCTGTCGACTGAGACTTCTCGTTTCCACCTGTCTCCAAGCGAAGCGTTGGCTGCGACTGATCTGGTGGCGGTGGTGGAGGCGGCGCTGCGGAAGCGGCCGCTGCTGGTGGTCCTGGTGGTCCTGGTGGTCCTGCTGGTGGCACGGGCGGTAGTGGTGGTGGTGCATGTGGTGCTCGAGGCTCTGGTGGAGGTGGTCGAGGCAGCGAAGGAGATTCTCGGCTAGGTGCCAGCACGCCAGATGTGGGCGGCTGAGGCGGAGGCGGCACCAACCCCCGTGACAGAGACTGGCCGGCTGCGACGCTCGCCATCGCTTTGGGACGCTTGAAAAGTCTGCCCAGCCAGAATCCTGACCTAAAGATCTGCCGTGACCGTAAACAAGTGACTGAAGGGCTGAAGGTCTTCACAATCCCACAGCAAGTCGAGCCAACAGCCTGCATTCCACACCGTAGTACCACATGTATCACACCCATACCAACACCGCGATGAAGGCTTCCAGAAACACGGCTGCATACCACCTGACCCATGCGGCCTCGACAGTCTCCCTGGGCTTCTTGAAGAGGGTGAAGAGCATCTGAGCAACGGACTGCCCCCGTTTTTAAGCTAAGATACCGGCAAGAGCAGCACCTCGCGCGTCTGGTGATGAATCATCTGTCTAATCTCCAGATCCTCAGCATCAGACACAAGGTTGGAGGCTGCATTTCCTGGAGTGTGGACTCTGAGGAGCTGGCCGTGTGGATGTGTGAGCCTCCAATTCCACCTCTTAACTTCCCAGCCTCTGCGAGGCTACGAGGAGGCTACGGTATGCGGGCAGCAAGAGTAAGAGACCCCGCTCTTCGAGTCGCCTCATCCACGGGGCCATAGTACGCGAAAAGTTCCAGGCGGCCCGTAGACTCGCGGTCGGAGACGGCTTCAACACGGTGCTAGAGTGCTACTAGTAGAATGGCAGCGACCCGTCCTCCGGATGCTCGAGGCTGGAAGGAAACACGAAGAGCTGGAGCTGCTCCCTTGCGGAAAAACAGAAACTAGATCAAGGACTTACCTGGACCTGAACTGTCGATCCGCAGGAGCCACTAAGTACCGCGCGGAGAAACATCCTTTGATGGAATGATTGGAGTCTGCTTCGAGGCACGTCCTCCTGGTCAAGAATGGTCAGTCGCCAAGCCGCGTGAACCAAAAGCGTCTGGTGCCTGGCGTCTTGGGCGCTGCATTCATCATCAAAGGGGCCTGGCTGCGTGACCAGTCAAACTGACTGTCCCCAGCTGCACTCTCCTTCAAGAACCCACCGTGTCATTCACACAAGTGCTCAGGCTCACACACCCCTTGAACCATCAAGGCTTACACTTTTGGCTTTGCCAGTCGCCTGATTTCGGGAGCTCCAGGTGCAGGAAATTCCATGCTCGACTCATGGGCTGTGGCCTTGAGGCTTCCAGTGCTGGCAGCCAGTCCACTCTCCATCCCTGCAAAGCCTGCAAAGCTGACGAAGTCACAGACATCGACTCTTCAACCCTTTGGCAGTTCGCAGCCTGTGTTATTGCAGCCAACTTTGCCGCATCTCTAGGCATGGGACGGGTGGCGCCTCGGCTACCCTGACGAGTCTGTTTTAGCCAGATCAGCGGCACATCACCGTCGAAGCGCAGAAGCAACAAGCGGTGCTGCATCTGCTATCATCTGCTCTGTTCATGTGACGACTAGTAGCAGTGCATGTTTTCCTCAGTTCTTGAAACACGGCCGCCATGCGGCACGGTGCGTCACCTTTGGTGAAAGCAGAACTGAGTCCTGGGCATTATCAAGTCAGGAACCAGTGGGAGTCCTCTGTTCCTACGTGCTGAGCTACTCAGCTACTCGATCTGCTGCCGCAGGTCGAGAAGAAAAGGATCATCGGGATCCTGCAGGCAGAGAATTCTAGATTCAAGTGCCATGTCAATATGCCCATTCGTGCCCACACAATTCAAACGAAACCTGTGCAAAAGCGCTCCTTCTTTTCGGAGCTGGCACGCCCCTTGCGCTTCTGTCGGAGCACTCTGTGATGCGGAAGTCTTCCGCTTTGATCGGAGCGGGCTAGCTCCATTGCGGCCACACGCTCGTGGAATCTCTCCGGAGTATCATCCTCACCCCATATGCAAAAGACCTCGTCAATCTCATCATCCTGGCTGGATGCCACATAGCTGAAGAGCCGCTGAAACTGCACGATGCTTGTAGCGGCAGCAGAAAATACGGATGCAGCTGCTCTGCCAGAGGAGCTCGTGGCAGTTGCATAACCTTCTTCGGCAACTCCTTGATGCATGTTGCCCTTCTTCTCCGCTCTCTGCCTGCGCTTTGCTAGCCGCTCGCGTCCCGCCGTCTGGACCTTGAGAACAGGCACCACCATTCCACGTGCATGCTCGAGCTCAGCAGCGCGTTCTACAAACTTCGAGTCTGAGTCATCACCGCCCCAGGCATTATGAACACTTTCCTCATCGTCGTCGCGCGCAGAGCCGGTAGCCGTCGCACTGGTAAGGTTGCTGAGCATCGACATCATGCCGAACAGATGGCTACCCGTGCTCTCGGTGGTACCAACCTCCAAATGTGTTTTGCGCTTCGCTTTTTCCTGTGCCTTCTGCTTCCGTTTGGCCAGCCTTGCTTGCGCTGCGGTCGGGGTTCCAGGCACCTCTATTCCTCTAGCCTGTTGCAATTCAAAAGCTCGCAGTCCCAGCATGTCATCTGTATCGTGTTCACCCCAAGCATTGTGGACCTCCTCCTCCGACTCCTCTGCGGCTGCAAAAGCAGCCCAGCCAGGAAGCCCACCCAGCATGCGACTGACGAGATGGGGTACTGCAGACTCTCCCGCACCACTTGTTCTCCTGCTTTGCGGCGCGCTTGTTAAGCCACTTGCAGCACTGCATTCTTCAGCAACTCCTTGATGCATGTTGCCCTTCTTCTCCGCTCTCTGCCTGCGCTTTGCTAGCCGCTCGCGTCCCGCCGTCTGGACCTTGAGAACAGGCACCACCATTCCACGTGCATGCTCGAGCTCAGCAGCGCGTTCTACAAACTTCGAGTCTGAGTCATCACCGCCCCAGGCATTATGAACACTTTCCTCATCGTCGTCGCGCGCAGAGCCGGTAGCCGTCGCACTGGTAAGGTTGCTGAGCATCGACATCATGCCGAACAGATGGCTACCCGTGCTCTCGGTGGTACCAACCTCCAAATGTGTTTTGCGCTTCGCTTTTTCCTGTGCCTTCTGCTTCCGTTTGGCCAGCCTTGCTTGCGCTGCGGTCGGGGTTCCAGGCACCTCTATTCCTCTAGCCTGTTGCAATTCAAAAGCTCGCAGTCCCAGCATGTCATCTGTATCGTGTTCACCCCAAGCATTGTGGACCTCCTCCTCCGACTCCTCTGCGGCTGCAAAAGCAGCCCAGCCAGGAAGCCCACCCAGCATGCGACTGACGAGATGGGGTACTGCAGACTCTCCCGCACCACTTGTTCTCCTGCTTTGTGGTGCACCCGAGGCGCTGCTTGCATCGACTTCCATGGCGGTGCCGGTTGTAGGTGTTGGTACAAGTATGGGACAACCTGGATCTGCCTCCGCCTCTTTGGTCCCCCCCATTTCGAGGTCTTCTCCTCCTTCCTGGCCACAAAGCCCGGAAGGAGGACCGCTCTCCTGAGGACCAAGCACATGTATGGCAGGGCTTGCGACTGTGGCGTCACTGGCGGTGAGGAATCCGTTCTTCTCGACTGCAACGTTGTCTTCGGCCTCAACCAGAAACATCTTGGAATCAGTAGCTTCGGTGTGCGACGGCTTTTCTGCAGCCTCGGACTCCCAATCGGAAAACTCCTCACCAATTTCATCCTTGCCTGAAGCTGAGCTGAACAACCGCACGCGGCCTTCTCGCAGTATCTCAAGACAACGACCAGCCTGGCTTGCCCTCCAAATCGGTGTCCGGGCTTACCTCGACCAGAGGTGCAGAGGTGCGGCACAGGAGAGCCCTCGACCTTCCCTTCTTATCCCCTACCAGTAGGCCCTAGAAGGGCTCCCTACAACGCCGGGCCTGGCAAGGCGGCACTTCGGAGTCGCCGGCTACGCCAGGTTCCGGGGCAGGTTCTGAGGCTGTTAGGACACCTCACAAAACATCAGATCACATGTCGACTTCAGGAAAGAATTCAAGCAAGCGGCTGATGGCACCCGGAGATTCCAGCAAGTCCTCCTTCTCCTGTCGAGCGGCCGCCTCCAGAATTCGCAAAGGCAGCAAAGTGAAAGAAAAGGACGTCTCTCCTCCCTTCCTTCGCTTCCTTCGCTCTTGCTCCGAGGCTCCAGCTCTCCGCAGCGTGGAAGAGAAAAGCTGGATGCGCTGCGACGAAGGGCTCGACGTGGCCCTGGACACAAATGCGCAAAGAGTGCCAAGGGTGCCCATTCGCGTCTTTCATCTCGCGATCACAATCGAGTGTCAGACCGTCCCACGCTGGAAAAGGCATTTGCACCACGTGCCTTTGCACGATATGACAGGACACACACTGGCACACGCCACAGGACACAAAGGGCCTGCCTGTAAAGAAACGGATTGGACATTGTCACGGAGGAGGTTCCAGCGATCCTTCCCCTTAACCACGCCGCCCACACCGCCCTTTGTCGCATCTCCGAAGTCGAATTCCTTCGCCAAGGACTTGGAAGTCGTCGGCGAGAGCAAGTTCCAGCGATCCTTGTCGCTTGCCTTTACTGCCATGCCTGCTCAGCATTTCGCTGAGGCCTGGAACGTCGCTGTGACGTGCACTCGGTTTTCTGTCCTGCCTGAGGTCATACAGGGAGTTTTGCTCTTGTCTTCTACTTGAAGACTTGAAGTGCAACATTGTGCCCTGATTCTGAACAGACTCCATCAATCCTTGTTCATGTCTACATAAAGGTAGCTGTGATGAGACATCACAAGGACAGCATGTCATGCGTGACAAAAGGTAACGCGAGTCCGCAACACGCAACAAGCCACGATCGATCATGATAGCCTGCTGCTTCGCTCTTTTTTGGGCCAAATTGCCAACATAAGCCTAAATGTGGCTTACTGTGCCTGGCTATGACTGCGATTTCTCTTCCCGGTTTGGCGGCTCAGGCTCAGCTTCCGTGGACTCCTCTGCATACTCGTTGCCCAGGGCCGGCGGTGCCTGGTGCCGACATGAAAAGTCTATGTCTTGCCGGACTCCTGGACCGGACCCCCCTTCTAAACGAAACACGAAGGGAAGATTCTGCAAGATTTCACCTTTGAAAACAACAGGGAAGGACAGAGCAGGGAGCAAGCCAAGCTTGATGCCGGCCGACCTTGGCACTCTCGACAGCTCCGTACGCAGACTTGCGATCCATCGATTTGCTTGCAGTGACATACCTGGCAGAAGTGGGTGCCGACATGTCGTGCGACTCTGGGCCTGTGCACTGCTGGCTGCTCCAGGGCACTCGAAGTGATTGCCCCTGACGAAAACGTTCCAGTACGCAAGAATCTCGACGAGGACTCCGTAGAAAGCCTGAGAGTTGACCACGCAGCAGTCTCGCTTGTTTTAGCCTGCCTACTTGTGACATGGACATAGATGCACACTCAAAATGATGTAGAGGACGGGGCCATGATTGGTCCAAGACAAATGATGCAGTCGAACATCAGGAGTGTCACCATCGTAAAGGACTTTGAACCTGCAACAAAACGTGGCCCAGGAAGAAGCCGCCGTCACCGCCGCACAAGCAGCTGTGTGGCAAACCTTGCCTCGAAGAGGTCCAAGCCACCAGCCTTCAGCAAGGCTACAGATGCCCAGGGTTAGGATTCCTTGTAGCGTAGCCAAAGCAGACGCTTCAAGGACCAAAGTAAGCACCAAGCTGTCAAAGGGGACCACGCCGCCATCCTCCTTGTGCCACGTCAGCTTCTTGTCCTCCAGCCGAGGCAGTGTGATCAGCTTGCTTCAGGAAAACAGTCACACAGGCACTCGACCAATCCACTCACTCACTCGCGTCATACCTACAATATGCACGTACACGGGCCCACACTCACTTGTTCTGTCGATCACACTCACAGTATCAGGACGCACCTGCTCACCGGGCGATATGAAACACTTCCGAAGCATCATGAAGTTGGCAACCTGGCTGTGTCACACAGGTTGCAAACTGAACCAGTGATGCTGGTGCTATCCAGGCTTGTGGCACCATCAGCAAGCCGAAGGGAATCACGATCGGCCAAGTAAGCACCTCAATTTCGTGCCGAAGTGAGTCGATATACGACAGCTGTTCCTCAGACACGCGCCCATGCCCCGGCTAATCCACACAGAAGAGTATCACCTTCCAGAACACATGCCAGATCCAAGCCATGCTCAGCCAGACTGCAAGACCCATGCCTGACGACAGCATCTCCGTTAGAACCAACTTCTCGGGGCCTTTGGCACCAAAAGAGAGAGAGAAAGAAAGCTGCCGACAGTCTGATAGTCAGGCCCGTGCACCAAGGCACTTCATAGTGATGTGTCACCCAGTAGATGGTGAGCACCTGACAGCTCATGCAACCTGATGGCCCCTGTGCCTGCACAGTAAGTGAAATCGCAAGTGCGTCGGGCAGGCCGCCAATGCAATCGCTTGTGTTGTCGCCACCAGATGCATCATCACTGGCTTGAAGACCTGAAAACAATCTTCCACAAAAGGACTGTGGATACAACTCATCATGGCAGTCGGCTTGACGGAACACGTCGACTCGACTGTGACTGAGAAAGCGCGAGCCCTGCCCATCAGAGCCCCCGGCCACTTTGAAAAGCATCCACATGAACTGTATTCCGAAAGAAGTAACCTCGAGTGCCAGAGGCGATCTAGGGCACAGCATGCGGGGATGCGTCTATACTCAGATGCCAACAGGCACAGAACCGAGCATGTCCCAGGCGGCCAAGGCAGCCTCACTGTCCAAGACGCAGTCTGGCGCCGTCAGCTTCGGATCACACTGAGGCGAGGTCGTACGAAACCTCGGCGACTCCTTGAGCGTGCCGCTTGGCCTGGTTTCAGACATCACCCAACGGTTCGGGCCAGGCTGGCCGCTAGCCCCAGGCCTGCTGCCATCGCTCCTCCCAAGAGCTCCAGTACGACACCGGCGAGTTCACGGATGTCGACTTGGCAGGTAACATGACCTTGGCATTCTGGAAACATAGCTTTTTTCCCCAACGCGGAAGGCTGTGGGGTCTTCAGCCAAAACTAAGTTTGGGGCATATGGGGGCAGAGGGCAGGGCAGGGTTGCAGCAGGTTCCGAGTGGCTTCCGGACAGGTTCCGGTTCCGGGCGGGTTCGGGCAGTTCCGGGCAGGTTCCTGGACAGGTTCGGGCACGTTCCCTTGAACGCAGTTGTGAATGCAGGAACATGGCTGCCATGTCAGTTGACTTGCCTGCAGGCTTGTTTCAACAAAATTAGTTGCAGGGAGCCCCAATTGCATTTTTCAAGACTTGGAAAACACATTTGGGAGCCGCTTCAGCTTTGCTGGTGTTCCCCACGCGAAGTTCAAACGGAAATCGAGCTCCCGAAGCTTCCGACCAGCTCCAAATGCATTTTCGCGAGGGCTGCCAAATGCAATTATTTTGCGTTTCAGCACATCTGAGGCCGCCGTCAGTAAACCCGAAAATCCTGCTTTACTTTGGCATCCAAGGCTCCACAATGCATTGTTCAAGGCTTGGAAAGCGCATTGTTCCCGGCCCCATTTCCCGAAGTCCCTAAGCCTCTGACCAAGCCTGCAAAGCACATTTCGCCCTCGTTGCAGTAGATCTGAAGCTCAATGCTGCCCTTAAACCCGAAAATTCTATTGCAGATGCATTAGCTTTTTGTATTTGATGGTGTTCCTGGCGCCATTCACCGAAGCGAAATCGAGTTGCCCAAGCCTCCGACCAATCCCAAATGCATTTCTCGAGGCCTCCTAAACGCGTTTGGCAATGGTTTCAACAAACTGGAGCTCCATGCCGTCCCTACATTCGAAAACACAGCCACCCATAAACCGCTCGAATCTGAATCTTTTGTTCAATGCCCCCATCTACAGCTCTGTCAGCTTTTCCGGCCCCTTCATGCGAGCCCAACGACAGCCATTCCGCTGTTCGGGTTGTTCAAAAGGATTATTTCTGAGACCTCCTCTTAGGTTGGGGCGGGCTTCACCCGCACCAGCCTGGGTACGACCTCCTCCTGCTCAAGAGCATGACACTGCAGCTGTCACACGCGCAAACCACTCCACTCCAACTCGAATTCACTCGGGCCTCCTTCTTCTGAGACATCATGTACGCACTGTAGAACCAAGCCTTGAGAAAAGCATGATGGTCCTGCCACCATCGGTGCTGTAGACTGTAGACTCTTCAGAACGCAAGAGTGTATGCTTCAAGTCTCCTCTGCGATAACGTCTCCATCCCAACATTCAACGTCTCTTGCGAGTTCAAGCGGTAAGCTGTATGCACTGAAGACCTGGCAGGTCGACAATCCCTTCAAGCTGTTCAAACGGAAACTGGCGGGAGTGCCATGTGATGCCATCCGTACATCACGCTGCTGACACCCCCGAACTCCCACAGAGAGCTGATGTACCTGTGCTGGCGATTGGCACTCACTAAGTCAGACATTCGCTGGGCTCCACACCCCCAGACGCGAGAAACGACTGGACCTCACACTGGGAACAGTTGAAAAAGCTTCGAAGGTCCTGTCACGTGCCTGCTTTGGGAAGCTCAGCGCCGGACTCTCGTAGAAGTTCCGCCATGGCAGCTGCGGAGCCTGTTATGATATGTGACTCAGGCGCAGTTTGTAGATCTGTCATTCTCAGCAGAATCTTCAGCCATGCCTGCCACATAGTGTGCAAGTGGCTTTTGTCCTGTGCCACTGCGGACTTGTCACGCCTAGTATGTTCCTCGAGGATGGTTGAACGCCTGGGATAGCTTCGAGTATGCACAACACGCTCTGAGATCCGTCCTCCTTCAACTTCACGAACTCGGAGCTAATGTGCTCGAAGTAATTGGGATGCATGATGACATCTGCATCGCAAACAGTGAGGACCTGCTTCCAGAACTGCGCAAATGGTCATCCATTATTACTACTCCGAAGCTGCTGGCAAGAGTGTTGATTGTGACCCAGAAGGCTGCAAGCGCTTCTGTATGCTCATTTGCATCTGATTGCTTCCATCTAGGTGCATGTGTACCTGTTTCTACGCGCAAATGCATGAACTCGGCATGTAGCTTCATTACACTGGACATGCGCTTGGGCACATGCACCAGCCCATAGGCGAATGCATTTTGCGGTCTCTGCCCCAGTGAAATTTGCCTGCTGTGAGGCAGACCCGAACGACACGTCTCTTAGATCCTATGACTCACACCGGTGCAAACATGCGAGTGAAGCTCTGTGCATCTGTGCACTGCGCTTTCCGCTTGAAAGGCCTTTGGAACCCTTACCAAAATCTACAGACCTCCTCTGGTGAAAGTTCAACAGCTCGACAGCTGGACAGCTAGACAGACAAACAGACAGATAGGTACATGGATAGATAGATAGATGGCTAAATGGATGGATGGATGGATGGATGGCTGGAAATTCACGGGTCCCAGTGCGGGCCCCCGAACTGACAAAACTGCGGTCGAGCAAACCACCCAATCAAAGGGAGCTCCTGAGATCGATACATGTGTGCGCAACCACGCGCTCCAAGCAGACTACATCGAAAGGAACGAATTATATTCTCCGCAAAGAAGACAACACAAACTAGCAGGTTGTGTAGTTTCTGGTGATCCCGCAACAAGATTACAGCAGCCATGTGAACTCATCTGAGAGTCTGAGACTGCCGCATCTCTGTCGGAAATCTTGCTCTCCTTACAGACCTGCTTCAAGCAGCAATGGGTGTTTTGGGGGTTTAGGGTCGGTTCGTCTCTCGTGCCTGCTTGACAGCCCATTTGACATTGGAAGCTTTGCCCGGCAACTCTGGACACTCGGTTCCATCCAAATGAAGCTCCTGGGCCACACGCATGGTTTGGATCCGCACATACCAGCAGTCTACCCTACTGTCCTGCAGTTTCTGAGGATGGTGAGTGGAAAAGATCTTGAAGAATTTGTCCTTGAACTTGGCCTTTGCAAAAAGCAGTGTCAATCGTTGAAATGCCGGGGAAAAACACTCGACATCGACCTCCATTTTGGCAGCCTTGTCCCGGCCGTCCGGTTCCCTGTCCTGACAAACTCAGACTCTAAAACTGTTGGTGCCTAAGCTTACGGTCTCTAGGGTTTGACGTTGAGGCTTTGGATTTGGAGGTCTGGGGCTCGGGATAGTTCAGGCCTCAGGGCTGAGAGTTTGGGTTTGGCGTCTAGGGTTTGGGTTTAGCGGATAGGTTTCTTGGCGACATGGTGTAATCGTCTGCCTGGTGATCTCAAGACCTGGGATGAGCTTAGCCGCTCAGCTAGGTCAACTGAAACAGGCAGTCCTCCATGGCGAGCACTACGATAAAGTGTGCAGCTCCACGTGCCTGGCACCAGCATTTATGTCATATCTCAGGTCTTCACCTGAATACATGATGCAGTTTTTGAGACGAAAGCCCGCAGCCTCAGAAAGGCTTTCTAGCGTGGTCTCCAGGATGCCCGTATCCTCCTGGCAATGACAGGACAACCTCACAGCGCCAGAGAAAGCCCTGTGCAAGAAACATGAAACGCGACGCAGTCCTTGTAGTTTGGAATGACGATTGTGTGTCGCACATTGTCCTGAAAATGCCCGAAATGATACCAGAAAATCGCACGGCCTTTATTAGTGTCGAACACAGCCCGGCCTGGCTTTCCACTTCACACGGGCCGGAGCTGGCTTCCGCCCCTGCCTTCCGAAGCTGTTCCTTCCGCAACGAGAGAACTCTCTGCTTTGCCCTGCTGACACAACGACAGCAGTCCTCTGCAGCATCGACGCCGAGCATGCAAAAGACAGCAGTGGAAACTACCCACAGCCACATTGCCACGTTTAGAGTAGCCGTGACTGTGAGAAGTAACACTGCATTCCTGCCATGGCATTCTTGGATGTTCGGTCGGTCCAGGCTGGGATGTTCGCTTCAGGCACTTGATACAGATGCAGACTCACTTGCCAGAGGTACCAGAAGACGCCGAAAATCAGCAAACCAACCTAAGCTGGTCTGTTGTCGGCAGGACACAAGGCTCCATAGCAGACTGCAAACAACAGCCTAGGAGCAATAGTCATGAAGACGAGGAAGGGCAAGCTCCGTGCTACATGTGCAGCCGCCCGTGCCTGCAAACCCACACATTCCACGCCATGCAGGAACTGGCTCTGAGAAACATAGTCGGGAAGGCCTCATGGATGTTAACCTTGTAGAACGGATAGACAGATTGCTCATCTCTGCCACCTCCCATCAAAGATGTCCGCCTGCAGGATGCAACTGCAGAGTCATGGAGCAAAGCTGCCCCTCTCGCAAAACCAAGCTGCCCACTGGGGGGATTCAATATCGGACAGAAACTTGGTTCGGTATCAAGCATGATGAGCCAGAACGGCTCTGACCAGGCGAGTTTGCTCAGGATGTTTGTTCAAGTTCAAAGGTTTTTCCGGCGGCTACTACATGCATGTCACATGCTGCTCCATATCCCCGTGTCCTTCACACCTGCCGAGGCTTTTGCCACATAGCTATTGGGAGACCTCCTGTTCAGGTAGCTGCAATCACTGGCCTTGGTGAAACATTCTAGCGGCGGCTTCAGGCCCGTCAGTAGGGACCTGGACAGTGCGAGTTTGACTCCCCCGGTGGAGGGAGAAGAGGGGGTGGGGCTGATACGTCTCCCTTCTTGCCCGAGCATCCCGGAAGTCTGCAAAGAGTCTAGTTGCAGAGCGGGCCTGGACGCATGCCCTTGCCGCCCTTCTTCGCGAAGCTAGAAAATCCATCAAAGCCTTTCTCAGCACCACTGCCCTTGCCGAAATCATTGCCGCCCTTGCCGAAATCATTGCCGCCCTTGCCGAAGTCGTTGCCATAGCCGCAGCCAAAGCCTTTACCACCATCAAATCCAAAGCCCTTTCCACCATCTCCTCCAAATCCCTTCGGTCCATCGCCTCAGCTCAAAAAGTTGTTGCAGCACGAAATGAGGGTGCAGGAGCATCACCCTTTTGGATGCCATTCTGTGAACATCGCAACAGCTCACAGCAGAAACAAAAGCTCATGCAATGCAAAGGCCTACAAAATCCAAAGGATTTGCCCAGCAGCCCTTGCCACCAAAGCATCCCTTCTTGCCAAAACCTTTTCCATCTGCACCTTTGGCATCACCTGACCCCCACAGACGCTCCGAAGACAGGGCCCTGCTGAGGCTCTGAAGTCCAGGCCTAGACCTAGGCCCATCGGCATCGGGGGGGGCTTGCCGAGCAGAGCCTGACAAGGACTTTCTGGCCCTATGGTGCTATGCTTCAATGCTTCGCCATGACGCTGCTATGCATCCGCTGCCCGCTGCACCTCACGGAGCCGGTCACCCTGTGAAGGAGGCGCCGGAGGCGCTGGAGGTGCCGGGGGCGCTGGGGGCGCGGGGGGCCTGAGAGTTTGGCAGTGATGACGCGCCAGAGATCCCCTCTTTTCCCCGGCTCTTGGGTCAAGCACGGAGCAGCCGGCGGGGCAAGAGGAGCAGCCGGAGGGGCAGCCGGTGGCGGATTGAGTCCCTCGCACCAGAGTTGCGTGAAGGTGTCTTCAATTCGCTTGGTGCGAAGCGATCGGCAATGGAACCTGCGTGGTCACGCCCGGCCTGTGCACACTGACTGTGACACACGCCCAAGCATTGGGGGCTCCCTAGTTCTGCTTCGAGTGATGACGTGCTACTCACTGCGGACTCAGGGCCATGCATGCCCCCAACTTGCTCCTTCGCCTGCTTGTCAGTTGGCGGCCAGCAATGCTGCAAGCAGAAGGTTGGGCAAAACCTGCTCTGAAACTTGCTTCCAAGCATGTCCATGTTGCCTGCTCGATCTGCTGCTCATCACCTTTCTTTAGCTGCACCTGGCCGCTGCGATTGCACGAGTGGGAGCTCCGCCGCTTGCACAAGGCTGGACAGAAGTTGAAAGGACATGCTGCAAGATGTTACACGCTACTGCTCCTCCGAAGTGCGATGCCTGCCTTCAACCACTTGCCTTCCACCGGGAAGCCATGCCTCACCACACGAGGTGTGAAAAGCAAAAGCGACAGAACCGAACGTGCACAAAGGCCCTGGCATCCCTGCAATGGCAGCCTGAACGGAAGCCCCATGCTCAATCATAAAAAAGACTTCGCAGGGCTGGACATCAGTCGATGCCTGAGCCGACGCGGGTGCATCGAAGGATACGAACCCGAAGCCGCGGGGCCGGCCGCTGTCGTCCTTCTGAACCCTGCACGGGAATGCTTGCTTTCAGGCTTTCAGCTGTGCATGCGCTGATGCCACCACCTGCCTGCAACTCAGAATCTTTCCGAAATGCTCGAAGTGCTGGCGAAGGATGTCTGGCAGAAAGCTAGATGGAGTGACTGTTCCAGACTCAAAACTGGTAAGCGGAAGGCCGGGCAATCACCGTGACATGCAGCTTCGTTTCAAGCAGCTTGCACTTTTGCACTGCGAGGTCTACGTGCCCTGTGCTCTGCTTACAAGCTTTCCGACCTACCGCGTCAGCACTCGTCGCTTGGAGTCCTAGAGGCCCGAGGCCCAGGCGGTCATCCCAACTGTTTGGAATATGGTAGACCTCATCCCAGATCATCCCACATCTCTCCAGCTGACAGCTGAAGTCTGAGAGCTGCACGAAAAGATTGGCACCAACAGGGCCAGAGGTCGTTGAGCCCGCGGGCTCGCTGTTTCCCTGGGCCCCGGCTGCATCGAATTGTGAAGAGCAGGGCGGCTCACGAGTCGTCGACATGCGCTGCCGCAACAGAATCTTGCGCTGCTCTAATAGCTGCTTGCGCCTGGTCGCACGGTGCTGTCGAAGAACGCTACGTGGCAAATTGAACTTGCCTGAACTCCCGGATTTGCCGATCTCTGCGCACCTCTGCCTGACGATGTTGAGTGCGGCTAAATTGGCATGCCAGACTTTCTCATGGGGAAAACAGATACGCATGTTTCGCTTTTAAGCAATGGTTCCGTCGCAATTCTCGAACTGGATGGACGGTCAACGATCACACAGGCGATCGCGCAGCGGAAACAACGCGAACCCTTGCGATCTTTCTCGCAGCGCACGAGCAGCCAGGCTTTCGCTGCTGTCAGCTGTCGCGAAGCGCCGGTGTTTTGATCGTGGTACGGAAATTATACAAGTTTTGTTGTAGGTCGTATTGAAGTCGTGTTGTTGGTTTTGCATCAGACGTCCGGGCTGTGTTGCATGCTCTACTTTTATGAGACCCAGTCCCTGCAACCCTTGGGATGGTCTGAAAACATTATTTGTGTGAGGTTTTGTGTGAGCGGGAGTGTGAGCGGAAGTGTGAGCGGAAGCGTGAGCATGAATGAGCCACTCACACCCCGGATCCCGCTCACACTCCCTCTCACACTCCCGCTCACACTTCCGCTCACACTCCCGCTCACACTCCCGCTCACACTTTTTGCTGTAAAACACAAAAAAGAGTGTGAGCGGAAGTGTGAGCGGGAGTGTGAGCGGGAGTGTGTCTACTTCGTCAGATGATACTGCTCCCAGGACCAATTGAACATCGGCCTTGCTTGCATGCTGCATGCATATGTGGCACAAGCCATTAGCCGGATGCATGTGTGCTTTGCTTTCAAGGCCAGACTGTGTTCCGCCACCGTTCGATCCAGCATAACCAACCTCTGAAGATCTCAGGCGACAGGCGTCCGTTCCACTACATCCAACTCTGCTTGGCTTACTGCAGTGTCCCCAGGTGAGTGGTATGGAGAAAAATTTCATACAGGCGAGACATGACATCGCAAGAGATCCAAAACCTTTCGAGCAAACGAGCACTGACGGTGAGCAGCAGAAATGTCAGTGCTTTCACATCGTAAGAACATCTGATAATCCTGTCGGCTACGGAGTACAGCGCTAAGTGCGACCTACTTGCCTCTGTCCTTACTCCTGGCCCTAGCTTCGCTAGGTGCTACTAAGGACTGCTATCGTCTCATTGCGTTTGGACATCCTGAACTCATGCCAACATGACCGCAGGGCCTAAACCCTAAAATCTTAAACCCGAGCAACCGCACACTCAGGAACCCCACTCTAACACCCATCAAGCCACCAATGCTTATTCCCGAAAACCTGCAACTCCGAGCCCGAACAGCCCTCAGGTTTCGAAGTTTTGATCCAACAACAGAAAACCTATGAGCCCTATGCTCTTGCAGATCTCACGATGGAGCTGTGCTTCTTCTTCTGTTTCAATCTTTAGGACGCAAATTCCCGACCCACAGCATGTTGTCGGGGCCGTGCAAATGTGCCCGATGATGCAACAGTCACAAGCAATGGCCTACACACTCGCTGCTTACGCGCCCTTCCGGGGAGCAACACGGCAGCGCGCGCCCCTGCCACGTCCTTCTGCGCCCAGTTAGCCAGAGAGGCGTCCAGATCGAATGGAACGAAGTAATGTCCAGCTCTAGTCACTAGTCCACCTTCAAATCCAAGAATCGCTACCGCCCAGTTGAGACTTGCTGGTGGAACCCCTAAAATCAAGGATCCGCATGACCTACGTTGAAACCTGAAACCAAACAAAACGGGCTGATGCAGGCACATCAGGCAGAAAAGGCCCAAAAGAAAATGTGGAGATAGCATTTGCACCGGTACGTGCAACCACGTGAACACCAATATGGCTCAAGAACGGAGCCTGCCATCATCTGTGCAGCCTTACAAGAGCACTCGCGACGAGCAGAACACAGTAGCGATTTCGGCTCAGTGTGGCGCAGAAGGAAACTCCGGCGGTGGCTTGATCCACAGAGTTTGCCGTGTTACTGCATGATAGTAGTAGACCTGCCCAGTTCATCAAATGACAGCTGTTCAATTTTGCATACGTCACAGGTCCACAAGAAGGCCCTCCTGACCCTCCTTCGTCCTGGCTTCCTTCCATGGGCTGTCCTGCAACTTCAACGACGGAAAACTGTAAGGACCTGCTACCCCCTCTGCAAAGCTGTCCTGATCGTTGGTGCTCCGAACTTTGCCAAGCAAGCCCTCGCCGAGGGCCTGGCTTCAAGCAGTGAGCGGCAGCCGAATGCACGGTGTGACACCATGAAGGAAAGATTTGCATTCCGAAAGGCAGCATCGACGATCGTTGAAGTCCCTACCAGGGGCTTCCCATCAAGTCGATCACGTGCTGCCTCTCGGCGACTGGAACTCTCAGCATGTGACTGTCAGGTCTACAAAGTATACGGCTTCTGGCGCATGCGGAATGAAGACTACTCTGGCAGGCAACTTTGTCAGCACAAGACTGCTTGCGGCACAGGCACACTTTTTTCCGTCTGAAAACAATGAGCACAGGCCGTTGTCCCGGCCATAGGTTTCTAAGCCGAGTCCACTGCAGCCACTGCACTTTGCACTCGAGTCTAAGTCTAGCTCAGGCTGCGATGTTCGCGTCCATGAGCCGGAAGCAAAGATCTCACCCAGCAAACTGGCATCCAGAACACCTCAAGGGATCTTAAGAGTTTATGCTAGTCATGGACCGACAATCGTCCACCATGCCGGACACTTTGCCTGATGCAGGCACCAGCTGCTGTGATACCGGCGCGCACTGCGTCCTTTCCGGTTCTGTCCACAGCTGAAGCGGTTCTCGAGGCTTGCTGGAGACCTTCATGTTGTCGTCTGTCAGCTTGGAGGCCAAGGGCACATCCTGTAGAAAGCACCGGAAGAGCTGCCAGCTGTTCCACACTCCACTGTGCTCCACGTCTGTCCTCAAGCTTTCGCTTACCCGGACTTTCAGAGGAATCGACGGCTTCTTCTTGAGCAAGTGCCTGATTGCCACGGCGAGGTGGCAAGATACATTGACTTCGTCATAGGACGACAGAAGACAAATCATGCTAAACTCTCCGTACTTCTTGGGACAAGATGCTGCCAGGCTCTGCCAGATGGCTTCAAGAAAGCCGCCCATGAAGGAATCCCCAGCACCTTGCGAGAGCCAGAAAGCTTGACCCATGGCCTGCTGTCACCGGCTACCAAGCTGAAGGCCCACATCGTCGACGAACTCCTTTCAAGCAGGTGTTTGTAGCTCCACAGAAAAGCTTGTAACCGGTGGACACCGCTACTATGACATGCCTCCGGGGACACTGGTGGAACTGGCACTTGGAAGAGCGAGGCGTCCTTACCGAAGGCGAAACTTGAGATGTGGTGACGTGTTGCAGCTGTCACGCAGCTGAGAACTGTGCTGACTTTGACCGGATGCAGCCCACACCTTTCGAGCCGCGAGTGCCGATCATCCAACCTCGCTGCTTCCATCTCGCAATCACCTTTGCAAGCAGCCACACGCCCACCACTATTGCCTACGTATGTGATGATGGCAGTCACTGATAGATACACACGCTGCATTGAGCAGCTTTTATCGGGAAACAGGTTCGTCGAATATGCCCGTGTTTGCGTGACATCACCACCGAAGCTGTTGGGCACAGGACTGCTTGAGGTTGCAGCTGCCATTGCATCCTCGTAGGTTTCGGGGGCAGGCTTGGACGCGGCCTCGGAAGACTCTCGACGTCTAGCGTGGTGCGGCTTTGTCTGACCTGCCTTGCAAACGGATGATGCCAGATGTATAACCTCGACTTCGTTGGCGAAAGTGAAGTCCGCCGAGCGAGCAGCCTCCTGAACCGTGAAGGGTGACGCGATCGCATTGACGAATTGACATGACCATGGCAAAATGTCATGGCTCTGGAGCTTTCTTGTGGCTCCTGGACACAGGCGATGTCCGTGCACCACTCAGCCCCCACGGTGATCGCGAAGACGGGCAGAATTCGACCTTGCACGGCAGGGCCCCGGCAAGAGGAAGCTGGCTGAAGGCAGCTTCACACTAAGGCAGGCACCGCCACCGGCGGCAACATGGGGCTTGGAGCACCAGGCGAGCATGGCATCCGCTCCTGCGATGTGCAGACTCGGGGCGAGCATCACATCCCCTCCGAGGGCTCCTTCAGGATCTGCTTGGACATAAAACCTGACATGGCGTCGCACACTCATTGCGTCCAGTGGCTCCTCGTGGAAAAGTACGCCGCGGCGTGCCCGGAGGTGACTGCAACCTCACTGCGGAAGTGCAGTGCAGAGGAGCATGTGCAAGTTGAGTCCAAGCTCTCCGCCCATGCCTGCGGTGCTGCAGTCTTGACAGATGCCTCTTCATGGCTGTGAGCTTCGCGCACGTTCGTCCAGAAATGTTTTGCCCAGGGCCTGCAGCATCTCCATCCGGCTGATCCATCCGGCGAAGCCTTCTGTCCTGGACGCGAATGCACTCGGCTGGTGCTTGAAGCTTGAATCAGCTGAGGCCTCTGCTTACCATCTAAATGGAGAGTTTTGCTGATGCCAAGATGTGTCACCATCGTGCGAGCCTTCGCATGGGGTCTCACTCGAAATCTACTCTTGAGTCTGGAATGCTGAAAGAAAGGTACAAAGCTGCAAGGCTCTACAGCCGCCTTGTTTGCCAATAGGCAACAACACACACCTTGACCACAGATAGAAGGTGGTTCGTGTGCATGTACATTAGGACGAAACTGCATGACAAGTTGATCTAGGAGAAATGCCGCTGGTGTTGGTGAGGTTGTCGTTGGGCTCCTCTTTCCTGGCAGCTGCAACGCAAATTTGCTGGATTCGTCTTTGCGACGGAGGCCGGCAGACCTTGCGGGTCGGCCCAGCATGGGCTCAACTCCAGCCGCTGAGAGCTCTGTCTGCAGCCTGTGGATTGTGGAACGGACGGCACCGCCAGACTGAAAAAGCAGAGGTAAGCCTGTCTCCGGCAGCATCGTGTCCAACCATGCCTCGGACTCCAAAGAGCCGAACTCCGCATGGGTAGCCCCGGCCAAACGGATGCACCCTGAGCTCCGTCACCCAACATGATTCTTCGTGGCTGCTGACAGTCTGCCTGTCTCTTCAACCTGATTGCAACATACCTTGCAAAACGACCATCAGCTCGCTCCGGCTGAAGCTGCTCTGCGGCACCACCAGGAACCGGCTCGAAGACTGTTGGCGATCACGCCGCCAGGTGTCGTACTGGCCTGAGACATGCGAAGACGAGCATCCACTCGCAGACCTACAGGCACTGGTTACCGGAGCGTCGAGGCACCCGCTTTGCCAGCCTCGGCTCTGCTCAGCATGTCTTTCACCAACGGCATGTGCCTCTCCTGCAACACTTCCCACAAGACGTGACAAACAATCAAGAGGCATTCAGGCACTGCAAGCACCGCCTCCGCCAAGCATTGTGTGTTCGCTTCGACCTCAAGAGGCAAGAAGATCTCTGCGATGCCGTACCTCCAGCTTCGGTACCTGGTAGCGCTTCAGGATGTCGGGCTCATCGTCTATGGACACCACGACATCCTTCGTCTGCAACTCATCGAGCACCCCTCAAGGCAAGCCGACCAGCCCTGCAGAGGTCCAGCAGCACGTTGTCGATACCCACAATCATCCCCTGCGAAGTCCAGGATCGACCGCTGGCTATTCCTTGTCGGCATCTGTCACTTTCAGGGTACCTTCCACAAGCCTCGTTCGACGGTGCCTGGGTGGCCGAAGCCACAGATGGACCGCCACTGCCGGCTCAAGCGCCACGTGTCTACGGTACTGAGTACTGCAGTGCTTGGATACATAAAGGATACAACGTTTGGGGTTCTTCTCTCTTCATTCTCTCTACACAACTATCATGTGGGCTGCTCCGCGCCACTGTCATAAAATTACCAGTCGCATGCTTTCACGTGATGTGCTTTCACCCGAGTATGCACTGGGACTTCGAGCCACAGCATTGCACGAGACGCCCTGCAAGAAGCGTCTCAAGCACACGATTGTCACGACGGCTAGACATGCCGGGACACAGGATACCGATACTGTTCAAACTACCTACAGCCTTGGCAATCTCGGGCGTGGCAAACGCGAGAATGGCCCAACCAGGTCCCTCTGGATCTGCCGGACGGAAGCTCACCTGAAAGCTGCACTTCATGTGCTGGTCCCCAGCAAACGCTACTTGCAGCTACGTGCCATGATAAGTCTTGCACCTGCAGAACCTCATCCGGTCGCCCGGCTCCGGTCGCAATCTTGCACCAGGCTTTGGCAAGGACGAAATTGCTGTGCTTGTGCCGCGCTGCACCGGACCTGTTGCTCTGTCACCGCTGGCGGGATCTTGTTGAGGATGACCTGTCAATGCAACCACCAACAACAGAGACAAAGTCACAAGCGCAAGTCATGAACCTGAGTAGCCCTTGTGTCAAGGCAGATGTCATCGGGAGCAACCAGTCACCAAAATGCCAAAACACATGCCGAACACGCAGTGGGTTGGATGTGCAAGCAAACACACAGGCAAACACCGGATTCTTGCAAGCACCGGATTCGTGCCCAGGAATCGCCGCGCATTTGACAGTGGACTCGATCCTAAACCTGCACTTGCAGATGCGCATTGCAACCTAGGCCACATACTCCAAAAGGTCCGTTTAAGCCCCGCGACCTTAAACAACCCTAAACCCAAGCCCCAAGCCAAACCAATTGCCTGTATCATCAACTCTAAACACTCCCGACACCTCAAAACATCCTGGGGCCCTAAAACCCTTGATCCTGAAACCCTAAAGAACGAAAACGTCTGAGCCATTCAAACCTTGAGCCAAAAATCATCATGGAAACCTCGCAACACTAGTAACTAAAGCATGCAAGAACTCAAACGCTCTGGAACTGCATGTGCTTGACTCGAATAGCAGTGCTTGGATCGCGGACAATCTTGTCGGATTGTGCTTTGACACAACGTTTTACCTTGGAAAAGATGAAAGTTGATTCGTCGTCAGGCACCACCAGAACGGTCTCGAACTCCAGATCGAGTCAAATGAGATATGTCGGGTACATCCCGAACGGTCATGCAAGGATGCTGACAACGTCGGGCCGACACTAGCAGGTATTGCACCAGATTAGACGAACACACACAGGCAACCACATCTGCGAAGAAGAACAGCAGATGATGCTTCACTCGGCTTAGGCACACTACACTGCCCTTGTGCCTATAGGGGGATATAGGGGGATTCCACAGATGTGCACGAATATGTTCACAGAGAGGACTTCTAAAATGGTCGGTGGCGACATGCTGCCATGCACTCGAGATCCAAGCTCAATTTCCGAAATCGGTGATTCGGAAATGCGTGAAGTGGTGCCGAACGGCTCCCATACCTGAGGCAGACAAATTTGACACCAGAAACTGCTCCCCCGTCCATGAGGACCTCACTTTTAACGAATCTCAGCGAAAGCATATGAGCGTTCCGAGTCGGCCAAGATTGACTGGATAAGTCTATGGATGCCATCGCTAGCTATGCTCAGCGGGGATGTTCTGTGGTCCTTTAGCTGCCACGAATCCCGTTCGAAGCCCCATTGCGCGAAAAATGCTTCAAGTGCTGAGTTTAACTTGCAACCCCAGCTTGGGCTGTGAACATACGCAAGGCGCATCTTGAAACCATGCTGGACTGTGCTTGCATGCCGGTTTTTCCCTGCTCCGATGCTTGACAAGCTTGGCTCGCGAATAGTGGTGCCCTTAGGCACTTACTGCTTTACCATGCTATCTCGTATTTTGTGAACTTGCTGCTGATGCTGAAGGCTTTTTCGACGCAAACAGACAGTGAGAGGGCTGATGACGTTTGCAGTCCGTGCTGTGCGCCCTGACACATGGGCCTGACACGTACTGTTGCCGTACACACACAGACATGCGCACAAACCGTTGTGAACCCTGTTGCTAGTGCGAGAGCAGGTTTTGCTGGGGTGCTGGGGAGGGGGGGTCTGTCATTGCGGGCCGAGGTTTTCGGAGGCAGCACAGGATCATCGTGACTTTACTGCCTGTTGTGTCGTCCTTGATTCGGCCGCATTCCAGTTACTGCAACAATCGGACTAATTGCTAATTCTCTGCGAGAAAAACAGCGGAAGTGCAAACGCATATCAACCATTTGCTCCTTAATGCCAGTCATGTGCTAAGCAAAACCCTGTTCTGAAATACAAATTCCACAACTGGCAAGAAATTCCTCCTCACCGGGAGTGCTGACACATTTAAACCCATGCACCACTGCAGGGAAAGAGGGGGATGGGGGTGGGGTTTGCCACTGAGTGAGCGAGCAAGCGCAGGCAGTGCATGATCATTGTGACTCTACTGCCTTACCTGAACAGGTGAGCTAATCTGTTGCTCTAGAGATGGGGTAAATGCAGTCATAGAGGGGATATGCGTCATGGAACCAGTCAGGCGCTCAACAGAATCAGCGGGCATGAGCCGTGGGCGTGTTATGGGACAGGCTGGTGAGAAATCGGCGGAGGGCCCTATCCAGCAACACAAATGGCATCCAACACCTAACCAACGGGGAGTGAAAGGAGAATGCTTGATGTCTAACAAGGTTTTCAGCGGGGGGCCCTCCTTCACGCTAGGCTGAGCGCCCAAAGAAGAGGGCGTAGTGGGAGGCTACAAGCATACCTGCACAAATCGCCACTGGCAATGACCTTCGCCAACGGCCCAAAAAATTTCAAAATGCATGTTTGTCTATCGGATATTGAAAAACCTGCCACACCAGGAGTGACATGATCTGCGTTCTCTTTGAGTCAACATGCTGCGGGATTCCATTCCAGCAGTGAACGAGATGAGTGATGCAGCATTCGCTTGCGTTCTTTATCTCAGGTCCGTGTGCTTTTTGGAGCTTTCTTGCTGCAGGACTTACACTGTACATGCCATCATGCGCAAACAACTAGTCAAGCACATATGCGCAACCTTTCTTCAAACCCTCACCGGATAGAGACGCTTGCGATAATAAGATAACTTCAAGCATCTTGCTTCACATGCCAGAGTCACAACATTTGTCGGTCCGGGTACAGGTGCCCCAACTGGTCCCATCACCTCGTGTGGCTACATGAGCTAGTCTCGGCTCGAAAGCACAGATCTAGATTCCACTCTGATCGGCCTGCGCTTGCCTCCAACAACGGAGCAAGCCGTGCCCGTGTCACTTAGTGTTCTCTCCTGCGGGGGAGGGGGGAGGTTGGCTCACGGGCGGATGTCCAAGCTGCGTAGAAGCAGTTGTGCAACATGGCATTTGCTGATGACATTGCTGCACTTTACGAGATGTGCCTGTGGCGAATCATAGGCTGCAGAATTGTCAGCTAACATCTAAGGTGTATTGAACAAGCATCTCGAGCCATCCATGGCTGCAAGCCTCTGCAGATGAACATGGTGCAGAAGATTCTGCGATACGAAAACGACCCGGACCGCAGGTTGCACACTTGCAGGAAGTCACACTGCCAACCAAGCAGGTTCCTACAGGCTAACGCCAACTACGTCTTCCACATGCTCCCTGTGGCAAGGTGAAACTGCAGGCGATCTATCATCCCATTTGGGAGCAGCGCCTGCAAATCCGAAATCTTGCAGAAGAGCATGCCATTCGTCTCGCTTCAGAGCCCTTCATTCCAACGGAGGCAGTGGAGGATCGTGCAGAGGGGGCAGCTCTCGAGCCAAACCACCTCTCTGCCTCGGTAAACCGCAGACTTCGTTTGCGATGTCTAGGACCTAAGGAGGGACAGATCGCTGTCTCGGGCCCGCACAGAGGCGGAGGCGAAAGCGAATTTGACAGCGAGGCCGCCTCAACGAGTCATCGCTGAGTGGATTTCTTGGCATTCTGCTGGCTCTTCTGAGGGCAAGGCCGCAGGCGAATCCTCACTTCTGGAGCTTCTCGTCCTAACCCCTGCGTGTGGGCTGCATGCACCAGATGTCCGGACTGTGCCCCATACCGACTGCATTTCGCAAGAAAGATGGAACGAAAAGCCAAAAAAAATGGTAAGCTATGCTGAAGGCTTACTTAGCGAGTCAGGGATTCTGAAGCCCGAAGCCTGACCCAAGTGTCGCTAGTTGATGTAGAGCTCCAAAACCAACACAGCAACACCAGCAACGAGGGCATCTTTCTCGACAAGACCTCCCCGTTTCCACGGTTCTTGGCTTCTTCCGGAATGGCACAAACTTCCGATGTGCAAAACAGAGAACGGACGAGCTGTTGCTGCCGTCCCTTACCCGTTGTGTTTCGTCCAGCACCCAAGCATTCCCTTCCTTTACGACGAGTCCATGCAGCAGTCGTCTCAGACACAAAGCTGGCAGCTAGCTTTCAAGAAGCCACAGGTCAGCTTCCAACCTTGGGGGGATGCTTCTATCCTTGGCGGGAGTGATCAGTGGGAAGTAATCAAACTGTGGTAGCCACTGCAACACTTCAAGTGTCTCTGAGCTCTGCACAGCTCCTGCATCAGATCCTGCTCCGGCAAGCAACGCAGAAGTAGCAAAGCACAACAGAGCCTTGAAGCTGAGCTTGCACTGCCTTGGGATCGTCTTCAGGCTGAAGGCCTTCTTCTTCTGAGTCTTCGACTAGTGGCGGAGGATCCTGTCAAGGAAGCTTATCCCTAGAGAGTGCAGCGAATCTCGATTTGGCACACAGCTACGGACCTCACCAAGCAGCAGAGCTTCGTTTCTTTTCAAAGCTCTCTCGGCACGACGGCGGCCTGTGGTGCAGATGTGGAGGCAGAATCCAAAGCGCTTGCGTTGCCAAGGCCGCAGCGCTTCTCTGCCAGACGCTTCTTTTCGAGGCGATCCTCGGGCACAGGAAAACCAAGGATAGGGCACAAGCCCTCGGCCCTCGTATCTCAGGCTGCACAGTATGCCGCCGCCTTTTCGGCAGCCTCGTCTTCCTCCTCCTTCAAGCGAACCTTGCCCTGCACCAATAAAAGAAGTCTTAGCCGACGAAGGGAAGGTGAGGACGGCGATGTCTGGGCCTCGATGTCCATCATCTGCTCCTTGGCCTCGACCAAGTGCTTCCTGACCTGACCCTGTCGGACACCGGCCTGGCACAAGCCGTGGCATGTTGCATGCCATGTGAGACAGTCCTGGCTCTGCGTGAGCGCCTTCGCGGCAATCTCCTGGATCTCTTGGAAACGGGCAACATCATCTGCAGGGATCATGCACGAAGCGAACCGATCAACGGTGCTCACAGCTGGCCTGGCCGCTCATGCTTTGTTCGTGCAAGCAGGGCTTGAAGGTCTGCAAGTGGTTCGGCGAGAGAAGCTGCCAGGCAGGAGGCAAGTCGAGCTTCTCACACAACTCCATCACCTGTCTTCCCCGCCTGTGTAGTCGATTCTGTCCCGCCACACTGACAGGTCGGTCCACATCTGGCACATGTCAATCGTAAGACGGTTTGCTACACACCGATCAAGGCTCAGTCTCGGTGGGCTAGGAATTGCACAAGAGTACAGGCTGGAGAATCAGAACTGTACGAGACGACAGGCCAGGGGCACCAACTCTGCCCATTGGTGACGGACATCATTGCGCTGGCTCATGATCTTCTCGATCTCCGCATCGCGGACCCTCTGCCTTGACACAACTCATTTTTATTCTCAGCCGCAGAAGGGCATGCACTGGCCTCTCTTTCGCCCCTGCATACCATTCAGGAGAAAAGGGTGGCTGCCCGTTTGTAAGCTTGTCTGGTACCTGTGGGCAGTTGCGGCAGGATCAACATACAAGAATGGCAAGGACAGGGAAAAGCGCCAGCGACACCCCAGCCGCTTCAAAAAGACTTTCGAGATCCGGTGGCGCCTGAACTCGCTATGCTATCAAAGTCACGACACTTCTCCACAAACACGTGCTCCTTGCCTCCGGATCCTTCGGTTTCTGGCCGTACACCCAACCCTCCTCTACTGGCATGCGGTCCACCATGGCGCAGACAGCTTCGATACTCTGCCACGAAAGAGCCTTGGGCCTCCACATTTTCTCTAAAGGCACTGCTCCCTCACCAAATCTTTCCGAAGAGACGTGTTTTGAGCATGCTTGTCTACCTGTACAGTTGATTAAACGCCACGGTCGCATCAGCATCAATCTCATCAGCGTTCAGGCATACTCCTTTGCTTCAACAAAACAACCTCGAGCATGCAAGTTTTCTGGATTCAGACTTGAGTCATGCAGCTGCGCCTTCGGCACATGCAGATCAGGTCAAGTAAGTCAATACGATGCCAGGCGCTACATTTCCTGCGCCGGAGCTGCGACCTTCCAACCGAATGCTACTCCACGCGACTTTGTGACGAAAGGGAACACTGCAAACGAAGCCAAGGATGACCCTCCCACTTCCCACCTGGTGAAACTTTCGCTGTGCTCCAGGTGCTCCAAGTCAACCCAAGATAATCTGGCTCCTCAAAAACTCTGCGGCTACCGAGAGCAAGTTGAGCGATTTGGATGCTGAGTAACGCCCCAGCAGCGACTCCAGCACCCTAGCACTCTGCTTTTGGAAAAACAAACGGAGCCAGGGCCCTTACGCATTTCCATTGTGTGGTGCTTCCTGCATAGATGCACGTCCAGGCGAGCAAGAGCAAGTAGTATTCAGGCGCCCGACGTACTCTGGCTCCGGTGGAAGAGCTTGTAGGTGAGCGAAATTGTCAGCAACGCCACACCTTAGCATATCTGCGAAGCAAATCAAGCAGAGCCGGAAAGTCCTGGGACAGCCACGAACGAGCCCGGGTTCGGGAAACACCACCCCTCGAGGCGCGAGGTGCAACGGAAAATCGCCGAACTGCTGAGGAAGGCCCTGCCTGCCGTAGCCTAGAACCGCAGATTCTCGCACAGTGGTTTGAAGCCCCTCATTGAAAAGGTTTCCTGCTCGCACCTGTCACAAACGATTACACTGGAACCTTGTATTCCAAGACGAGAGAAAAGGCCTGTTTCTCCGGAGCAGGATGCTCGAAGAAGCGGTGCTTGGAATTCTTGACGCGGTGGCGCTCTTCCCTGTCGTGCTCCGAAAAGGTAGCCTGCGAAGAGAAGCAAAGGTCTTTACAATACCCACTGCATCCCTCTGCAAGCGTGCCGCGCCGTTCGAAAGGCAGAAAACGGCACCAACACGCAGCGATGCTGCATTTATCTGCTGAAACACGCATCGCTGACTCCCTGCGCCTGCATGCTGCCGTACGGGTTCAGAATCTTTTTCCCGACATGTCGAAACCTCCCCCCAAAAAGGGCTCTGCTAAAGGGCGCGTTCAGGAAAAGCCCGGAACTCAGGCCGACACTCGCACTCTCTGCCCACCCCTTCGCCCGTCAGGATGTTGAAGGTGCACCTCGAGGCGAGACGCGAGGCGAGACGCGAGGCGACCGGACGGGATCTGCGACTGCCAACTTTCGCCGCCCAGAGGCTTGTCGCGCAGGTGATGTGCTGCTGAAGCCTGTGCAGCTGCCCGCTCCTGCGAAGAACGCTCTGCAGGGTCTGTCCGGAGGCATGCCACACACGGAAGCACAGACTGCCCGCTCCTGACGCGCCCAGTCTCTGGCCTGTGACAGATTCTGAACGCTCCAGCTCCGAGTACGTGCGTCGCCTTCAACTCAGGCCGGCTTGGCCGCTTCGTGTTCAAGTCGAGCAGCGTCCTGCTGAATGTCCGCCCTCAGATTTAACAAGCTTCGAATCCGCAAGTTCTCACGATCTCTTTCGACTGAGCTCGCGGCTGGTGACGGCGATGGAAGCCCTGCATGAGCTCAACTACCCCAAAGTTTACACAGTCAAACAAGGTGAGGTCCCACCTTGTGGAAACGAGTCTCGTTAATGTTACTGGTGGCAATGAAGTTGGCTTGTTCATCAACTCGTTCGATTGGCAGATGCCTCAAGAGCAAACGAAAGCCTGAAAAACTCCTGTCAATGTGGGTATTTGGCATCTCCGTCTTGCAGCCACACCTGCTCTTGCGCGGACTCGCATTCAGGTCTAGCCAGTGACGTGACTGAGGTGACAACTGCGGCTTCAGGAAATCGTGGCGCAAGTATTCTGGGGTCGCAGCCTCATCAAGCATAAATGAGGAAGCAACAAGGCCCAACAGGCCAAGCGCAAGAGAAACCCTACAACCGAAGAAAGTGTTGCCTGACGAGCCAAAACCTGAAATCGCCTTTGAACTTCCGATCTCTACACGGCGAGAGGAACCCAACTCACCGCATCACTGCCATGATGAACCAAAAGACCTCTATAGACGGTGTTGAATATCTGCAAACCCCTGCTCTACACTTGGTCGCCGACATCACACGTGACGGTCTTCTTGGCGCTCTTTTTCACGCGGACATTCTCAAACCGTCCGAGGATGCCACCTGCACGTGCCAGCAGCCACCAGAAGACTCTTCCCTGAAAGCTTGACAGGCGTGCCATGAACATCAAGAATTCCCCATGCCTCCTTGAAGCAAAGGTGGTGCACTTTCGTTCATGTTGCTGGAACAGTTGAATGTGAATGCTGCAAGACTTTGGAAGGATTGCTACGAGGCCCGTTGCCACTTTCAACTCTTCGTGTGAATCGCGTTTGAGCCAGCAACTTGAGGCAACAAAGCAGAAATTGGCTTCACGAACCAGTATGAAGGCATGGTGCTCAACAGTGTCATTAGAATCAAGCTGCAGTGTCAGCTGCGGCTTCAACAAACTAAACTCAAACCTTTGCTACACCATACAGCTGCTACAACTACATGATTTGCTGACTTCCGTGTCGAGACTTGCGCCAAATGCAGGCCATGTGTTGTGTCAGAGACCCGCAAAACCTTACCCGCTGGACCCTCAACCCAGACGATAAACCCCATGAACCCCTTAAACCTCTGAACCCTCAACTCCTCAAGCCTAAACCCCTAAGCTGGAACCACCTGAAACCCCACCCTCTAGACTCCTGGACCCTCAATGTAGCACCAAGGCAAATAGTAGCCAAGGTTCAAACCCAGACTCGAAACTTTGCTTCGAAGCCAGATCCGAAATCGAGTGTCCTACTTCTAAACGACGAAAGAAACGGTGTTGGGACTGTACACTGCGAAGCAAAACAATACACCGCCTTTGCTCAAAACCAGGTTCGAACCCAAGTTCAAAAAGAACCTGGGTTCGAAACCCAGGTTCTTGCTTAGTCTTCCTTCCAACTCGAAAAGAAGAAGCGATGCTTCTAAGGGAAGCAAACAGCGAACATGAAAAAAGAAACAAGAAAACCTTGATCTGCACAGAGCTCGTTTCCAATTACAAACGCATTCTTGCAACGACTCACACGGCTCAAATCCAGGGCAGGACGCATCCCTTCCAAATACGATCGCTAATGGATCCACGACGATGCGTGGCACTTAATGCAAAGAAAATATTAGGACTCAGAACGAATTTTCCAACAGAACTGCGAATTCCATTCTGAAGCAGTTGCATAGCATGTGCATGCGAGATTCTCTCTAAGCAAACACAATTGCCACGTTTCCTGGCAGTAGACCAAAACCATCCGTGCAGTGAGTCGAAATGGGTTACAAGCGGTCGCGCTCTTATGCGGTGTTGCAGGGAGTCGCAAACAAAGGCCTGGGACATCTTGAGATGATAAGCAAGCAAGACTTCGAAGAATAATTAAAATAACAGATATTCTATGTTTGTCAATGGCCATATTTTTTGTGGCATTGGGTAGAAACATGTATGAGACACATAATGCGCTCCATCGATTCTGCAAACAAAAATCATGCTTGTGCGATAAATGTTCTTGAGCTTCTAGTTTTGACATGCAAAAAAAACGGAATTCGGGCTGGGATTGGCTCCGACTCTTACCCTCAACTTGGTACAAATGCACTACAACATACCAGACACTGAAAAAGCGTTGCACTGACAGGCGTGGACGCTTCAAATGCTGAGTTCGGCGAAACCCTCTGGGCAATTCGCAGCTCATCATCACTCGATCCGGGTGCGAACAAAGGGCGGCAAGCACAAGTGCAAAAGTGATGGCCAGTGAACAGCTGCAGAACCCAGTTCAAAAGAGTCTTTAGAACCCTACACGAATGCGAAATCTTTTGGCGTTGGCGGGCCTCGTTGGCTGCAGCTGCAGCACTCGGTCCCTGTAAACATTAAACAAACAACCAACACACAAAAACAGCGGTGAAACGGAAGAATTAGAGAACGAGATTACGTACATGCTGCAGCATGCGGACTTGGTCAGCATGAGCTGTTCAGCATTAAAAGAAAGCCCCGCTTAGCGACTCAAGCTAAGGCAACAGCGGACCGTCGTCCGGAGTCACCCAAGACAACGAGTGGAGCCCAAAACAAGGCTCCGGCCGCCGTTCTAGTCCCGTCGGACAACGGACAACCCTCGCGTCTTGTTTTTCAACGAGTCGAGCACACCAAAGTCCAGAAGCCAAACAGCCTGGTCGAAGCTTTCCAAGATAGCGTGCATGACCTTCGCACGGAAATCCTTCAACTTGTACCACCCCAGTCGAACGAAGCGAAAACGAAATAATTTTAGGGCATGCGATTTGTGTTGGCAACCCATGTCGAATCAAATACTCTTTCCGATGTGCAAAACTCGCAGCGCCAGCGATCTTCATTGACCTACTCTACACCCAGAGACGAGCCGCGCCCAAGCCCAGGGCAATGTCCTCCATGGGAAGCATGACACGGAATGTACCCGTATAGGCACTAGGGTGGGCAAACATGCCAGGGCCAGGGTCGAACTCGTGGTCGCCCAGCAGTATTCGCCCATGGCGTCCACCATGCGTTGAGCGACTTCATACTGCAGCTGGCATACCGCCCGTGCAGGCACTGTAACCGCGAGCCCCAACAAGAGGAGGCAAACTCCGCCTCGTCCGTTGGAATGTTGCTCAGGCTGTCGCACAGCCAGGAATGAGATGAATGAGTAAGTATCGGGCGCATCAATGAGCGCACGCATGAGGTACAACAACAAAAGCTGAACCGACATAAGTGTTCCACAATGGAGCAGCGGGGAGTCAAGAAGCGCGCCCCTTCTGGCAGTGGTACGCTTGCTAGTTGGCGCTCGTTTGGGCCAGCGGCATCTGAATAAGGCTGCCGTCGCGCACCGGCGATTTTTAGCCTTTAAGAGCCCGGTCGAGAGCTGAGCTCATCTAAAATGAGCCACCACCAAACCGCGAGGCGTGCCAGCTCATACCAAGACAAATCAAAGCTTTGGGCCTCCTGCAGCTGCAGGACCGGCTGGCACAGCTGCGCCAGGCCCACCGACACAGCAAGGATTAGAGACAAGCACAATCGCCAAGCTTCAGTTTCTGAGCAACAACGCATCTGCAGGGCTCTCTCCGCGAAGTTGACCACTCCTATGCCAAAATTCTGCGGGCTGACCTTGAGCTCACAGGCCGGAATGCTCAAAGGTAGAGTGAGCAGCATTTTACAAGCGGCAAGGGACGGAAGAGTTCACTTCAAAACCGCTGAAACCGCATCACTGGCCACCGGCGCCTCGAGGGACCTGGCAGAACGCTGGTATTCAATCAAACTGCTTGTTGCTCGGCAAAGTCGTCCGCATCCTCTAACGGCACACAGCCGGTTGCCAGTTCTTATCGTTTCAGCGCGACCCTCTACAGTTGTCAGGAACGTAGACATGTGTGTATCATAGACGGATTGAAAATCATCTGTTTCAGAATCCACAATACATTGATCATCAGAAATAGAAGACGTTGCAATCATCGAATATATGTTCTTTCACTGTAATAGCATGTTTATGAAACTTCGAAACACTCGCAGTCAAATGCGCTCCACGATTGTTTTCTCGCATGGGCGAACAGGGGTGAATTCGGTGACACATCATCCATAGGGCTTGGGAGGGCGGGTGAAGAAGAATTCTGCTCACACTGTTGTAGTCATAGTAGCACTATTAAGGTATGTTGTTGTCAACATGATCACAAGTGTCCACATGATAACATGATTCCACGTCTGAGCATAAGCTGTCATATAGCAGAAAGTTTGCAACAACATGCTGAGAAACTCTCAATCAAACAAATTCAATGTGAAATAAATTCATGATCTTTTTTCGGGGGTTGCACATTGCGAGCCCATCGCGGTGAAACGACAAAGGGCATTAGCTCGCTAACGGCATTCTTATCGTTTCAGTTCAACTTTACCTAACCCAAGACACGCTACGAGCTACAGAGCAAAGCAAGCAGAGAGACTATTTTTGACTTTGCCGGAAACGCGAGAAGTAAGTTGAAGCTGCAAGCCAAAGCTAAGCAAAGAAAAGCTACAACGAAGCTTCGAGAGTTTAGACCCCCGGCGAATTAGGACGCTAGTACAACGCAAAAGCTGATTTGACGCAGATTAGGGCGCTATAGCGACACAAAGTACGAAGTAGTGGCGCTATCGGCGTAAAGCCGCCGCGCCAAGACCGTGGGAAGCGAGCAACGCAACTGCAGTGCTAAACTTGTACTGTAAAAGCACTCATGCAGAAAAGCTAACTGTTCACGCAAGCTGTGCAACGGGCCTTGTACGCAAAGCAGTCGGGAATCCCCCGAAACGTTAGTACGCTAAAGCTGGAAGCGAGCCGAGGCTGTGACAGGCGAGGCTGGCAGAGACAACCAAGAAGAAAGCACATGCACTGCACTCACATGCACTTCCTGCCTGCACCTGAAAAAGGTTTTTCCCAACAGCTCAAAGCTCCAAGCATGCCTTGTGTCTGCGAAGCTTCTTGCCTGTGGGTGCAAAATGCACCACTTGGAAGACACTGACTATACACCCGCAAGCGGGTTTCAGGTGCACTCCTTGGAAAGTAGTGCAACGATCGAGCTCGGAGCAAACCACTGCCTTGTGAATAGTCTTGGCAGTGATGATGAAAAGAAGCTCATCCGGGGATCCTGGCTCACCTGACGAGTGCAAAGGAAGTGTGGCTGCCTTCTCTGGGGCCACAACATCACCAGGGTCCGATGCCAAAGTGAAAGTAGCACCTGCCAGATCCACATCCACATCGATGGCGGGACAAAGCTGAGCACGGGGCCCGTCACCTTACCAATACGACACCATTCGTTTTTCAGTAAAGCAAGCCATAGCGGGAACCATGGGCCGACCAGACCCACTCCTACGACACCAAAAGGAGCACCACGACGCACTGCGGTCTTGGTCCGGAAAGAAATTCCACGGCCCATCTCTTGTTCGTAAAGTAAGGATCCCCACTTCACGTGCATGGCATCGCTGAACCGCAGAGAGCCCCAAATCATAACAAGGAGCGCCCCGATGTTCAATTGCAGATCAGGAAAAGCATTTGAGATCAAGCAAAACTCCAAATAAGCAACAAAATCCAGTGGCAAAGGCACTGACTCTCGACGATCAGCTTCGTTACGTTGGTGAGCCACTGAGTGAAAAAGGCCTGTGTAAAGATCCGGAAAAGAAACGGTGGCCACCTTGACCATCCACCTCAAAGCCTTCAACGTATTGAGGGGAAAGCATGAAGTGGGAACTTCTTCTTCATCCTCAGGGGACCTGTAAAGCTGTATCATCACATCATAGGCTTGCACCTGGGAGATCCGAGCTGCGTCAAAACCCAGATCCTGAAGCAAAGCAAAGTATTGCAAGCAGCTCGGCACATACCTGACCAATGTAGTGTCGGCCACCGATGCAACCAGCTGAGAAAGCAAAGCTTCTGAGGATGCCGATTCCAGAATTTCCTGCAATGCAGAGCTCAAAGGTGCAAGAAGCAAAACCAGCTGGCGCCGCAAAAGGAGACCCTTGGCGCGGAGCTTTGCGTGCAAATCGTTCTGCAAAGTAACCCGTGCTGTCGAAGTCACTGGCCGGGGTGGCAAAGCAAACTTGCAAGGCAGTACCCTAGGTGGTTCTGGAGGAAATGCATATTCTGCTGTGGAAGCAAAGGAATCTGCAGCCTGAAGCAGATTGTCCACCAAAGGATCGCACTGAGCTGACGTGCCAGCCTCGTCCCACGTGCCTGAAAAGCAAGAGGCAGACGAGGGAGGCCTGGATTCTGAGGGGAAGACCGCATAATCGCGAGCAGAGCGAAAAGTAGGTCTGGCTCTTGCATCCTGTGAAGACCGTAGCGTAAAAGCAGAACGCTGAGGGAAAACTGGTCGAGCTTTGGGCACATCACCCCGTGACGGCGCCGTAGCTGCCGGAGCAGACCTGTCCACAGGTGAAAAGCACGGTCGAGGCCGAGGCTTCCACTTGGGTGCTGCAGGCACCATCGGCAAAGTAGAAGCACCTGGGTTCCAGGATGATGGTACCGGCAAATCAAAAGCCGGAGTGGCCTCCACAATAGCAAAAGAACCATCACCTGACGAAAGCGTCAAAGCAGGGCTTGAGTCATCCTTACCCTCTTCACGCTCCATGGGAGCATCTTATAAAGCAGCTTCGTCAGAATGCCGCCTGTAACGTTTCACACGAAAGCGGCTATCATCAGAAGCATCAGCCGGCCATGGTTCAATCGAGCGAATCCAGAAAAGAATCTGAGTCAGTATGTTCCGGACGACCTTCCAGAATTTGCAAACGTGCACTCAAAATATCGTTGTCTGTATGCAAAGCAGGCAGTCGTTGCTGAAAATATGGTCCACCCTCTCGTGTACTTCACCCAAAGCTTCCAGAGTGTCTTCACGGAGTTGAACTAAAGCTGCAAAGAACTCTTCACGGATCGCTGCACTTTCGGTACTTGCTCGCTTGTTGGCACCTTCAAAGAGGCTCCAAAGACTGCTGTCAAAGTAAGTGCGATACTCTTCCAGCTTGGCAAAGGAAGCTTGTCGTGAAGATTGAAGAGCGGAAAGTTGCTCCTCCAGTGCAGTGATCCTGTCGTTCAAAGTTGCCTCACACAAGGCAATATCAAACTGCCTGACAGGGCGGTCCAACCACTGTAAAGTTTGCTGAAGCTCTGCTGACTGCGGGGCAGGATCAGCCTCCGAGTCCATCAAAGGACGCAAGGAAGCTAATGTTGTTCAAAACTGCAAAAGTGACGCGTGCTGAAGTGAGAAATATGCATGAAAAGTAAAAGCAATATGCTGCATGTTCAAAATTTTAAAGCATGGAGCGAAGCTTGATGCTATGCTGAAGCACGCGTGTCTTGGGCCGAAATGTTGTGTTTGGAACATGGTAAAGTAAAACACCCATGAGTAAACACATGAAACGCGCGACTCTCAACAGTTGTCAGGAACGTAGGCATGTGTGTGTCATAGACGGTTTGATCATCTTTTTAAGAATCCACAATATATTGATCATCAGAAACAGAAGACGTTGCAATCATCGAATATATGTTCTTTCACTGTGATAGCACATTTACGAAACTTCGAAACACTCGCAGTCAAATGCGCTCGACGATTGTTTTCTCGCATGGGCGAACAGGGGTGAAGTCATTTCACACATCATCCCTTACACGTTTGGCCCATCTCCACACACGGAGTTTTCGATGCCCACATTTGCAAATCACATTTGCCGCACATACGGCTCTTCTGTCCGCTCAAACACTGTGTAAAGAACGACGGCAGCTTCTAACCTGTTAAAAGAACATGACGGCTCAACGATGTCCAAAGCGCAACAGCGAGTTCTGCTGCCAGGTTGCTGGATGCCTCAAAGTGGTCGACTCATCGCCAAGCGCCAAACTGTGCAGGCTGCTGAGAAGTTGATATCATCCAAGCTCTAGTTGAACTCATCGCCCAAACCTGTTTGGATGCCTTCAAACTTCAGGTTGTGGTCTCCAAACGTGAAAATCTGCAGGTTGAACTCATCACCAAACGTCAAGTTCTGGGAGGCTGCCGGGCAGTTTAATGCGCTGATGCAATCCAACTTACCGAGCACCAAACTGTGCAGACTGCTGATTAACTAAGCTCACTTGTCGCCAAAACCTCAAATTCTGCAAATTGAACTGTCACCAAACACTGACTCATCGTGAAGACCTCTTGCTCTCATAGCTGTGGTTGAGCAGGTCGCCCAATCAAGTTGAACCCTGCAGTCCGTCGAGTGGTTGACTTTCCAATCTTGGTTTGAAGTGGAAGCCAACTCCAAACTTCAGAGTGCTCGAATGTCCGCCAAGTTCAAGTTGGAGTCGTTGCCAAAGGTCAAAACCCGAGACTAAAGTCGACGAAAGTTCCGCAGTGAACTGGTCAGAGTTGCTGCGCCCGTGTCAGATGTCCGCCAGTAAAGTCTATTTTGGCTTCAACCGAGAAAGCAGCGGAGAGCCCTGTAATTCAGGGAAGAGCATATCCAGGAGTACCCTGCAGATACTCGCCGAGAAGCGCGAACAACAGGGCACGTCGTAGTAACGTTGAGCAGTAGAAGCAGCCTTCGGATTGGAGGTGCGCATCTAACGCCAAGCATAGCATGAGCCAGAATTACAGGCAGTGGAGAAAGCAATATGCTGGTAACGGCCAAACGAACCCAGCAAGTCGCGCCGTGGGGACAATCTGAGGAGCAGAGCAAGGTCACTCATCGCTATCAGCATTTGCCAGTCGTTATAGGTCAAACAAAGCCGCACGTCGCAAAAGGAAGACCTGGCGCCAGAGTCTAATGACGGCGCCACCACGCAAAATCCAAAGGCACCCATTAAGCCATGGCTTGAGACCGCCCATTGGGCGACTGGAGTCGATCAAGCTGGGCAAGCGGTGCCTTTCCACTGCTTCCAGGCCGGTGCAACACATCTCTCCATTGCAGAAAGGGTTTTTTGCTGGCGTTTGGCGGCATTTTCGACCAGTGCTTTTGGGGCACCTTCGATTGCACGTGTACGCCTATCACTCATACAGCATTAACTGGCTACTTAGAGCTCTTTGGCGCATGTTTCTAAGAAATGGTCGCTCCGTGTCGAGATTGTGCGATTCAAAAATGAGCTCGACTCTGGTTCGCCAGCACCAAGTGCAGGCCCAAAAATGCGTAAATCCCAACACTTCTTAGACGCACGTCACGAACTTGACAATTTTGATGATCGTGGCTGTTGCGCCACCTTTGTCTGCGGGAAGTAGGGCCAGTGATCCGGGGCCCGTGTTTGTAGGAGAGCTGAACGATTTCGTCGACCAAGTCTGTATGTCGCAGCTCCTGTTTCACCTTAGCATTTTTGTACAGCTTATTCGTTTTTTGTTAGTTGCTCTCTTTCTTACAAAGCCGAGCAGTCGACGAGGCCGCATACGCCAAAAAAACAATTAGCACTCTGGTCACGTGCAGTCTGAACCATTTGATGCTTTCTTGGCACAGGTGCCTTCCAGAAGAACTCTTAACTTCTACCTTGCACAGGCGAGGCCGAAGTCCGCTTCCAAGAAAAACAGAGTGTGCATCTTTCACTTGAGCTGAAAACATTCGAAGCAAAACGAAACGAGACAAAACGAGTGCGGTCACTAACCTGATTCAAAAGCACTTCTAACATTTGAGGCAGACCGAAAAACACCAAAGATCAAATGACACTTTTTCCAAACAGGCGCAGAATCCTGTCCGAAATCAGAAAATACACGGACCTGTGTTGCGGGGGATGGCACGGGTCTGTGTTGCGCGGAGATGTGGTGGAATTTGCTGAGCAACAAAGTCCCTTGAAGCGCCTGTTGCGATGTTGTCCGTCCGTGCTGAGGCGCAAGACCTCCAAAGGCCGAGGTTTGTGACAGCGGATGCAACCTGCGCAAAGAGACACGCAACCAAAAAAGCAATTCATTGGTCTTGATACCTTTTATAAGATGTAGCCACAATCATCTTCTAATCCAAGCATTGGAAAGAATGGTGTTTGCTTGCAAAAGTTTTTTAAAAAAAAAACCCGATTTGACGCTCGCACAGACTCAGAGAGCAAAAAGAAATTGAAGTAGAGGCGCAACTTCCGGCAGCGAAAAGTGCAGTTCGGACTGTTTGAGGGGACGCAACAGCCGTTCCAGCAACAGCAAATGCAACCAGAAGCAAGGCAGAGGCAAGGAATGTTACAAATGGGTCTCTGCTAAAAGAGCAAAAAAAATCTGGCAAGAGCCAGGTGAGCCCATGTCGTGCATGAGGGGTTTTGGAGTTAAGCACCGTGCACAAATTCCGAACCGTCAGCCGCACCTCTCGATACCATAACTCTACACAGCTCAAGAAGTCCTGTTCAGATCTGGTGGAGATGCCTTCCAGAAAATTCCGCCGCTCTTGTATGATCTGTTCCGGCCGACCTTCTCGATACCATAACTCTGCATGGCATGGCTTGATCTGCTCTGTTCAGAGATGCTAGAGTCACCTCTGGAAAAATTCCCTGTCTTTGTACGATCTCAAAGCTGCACAGTTATGGGGCTGTCGGGCGACCCCATTTTAAGGCCCGCAAAACACAAGCAATTCTGGCTTCGCCAGGTCGGCCCTCCACAGTTGCACTCCGCTGGCTGCAGCACCATTAAGGGCAAGCAACACAGCTGCTTTGGACAAGTTCCGACCTTCCAAACGGTCCTCCACCAGACGCTCCCCAAAGTCAATACAATCAATGACATGCACAGCTGACGAGATTCAGCCGCTGTGGGTGCAGGAATCAAACTTGCGACCCCAAAAATGGGGCCGTCTCGCGGCCCCAAAAAAGAAGCCGCGAAATGCAGCCAACCTTCTTTAACATATTTTGACTGGCAACTAGAGGACCCCAAAATCGGAGCCGCTTGGCGGCCCCTGTTTTGGAGTCGCGCATTTCGCATGTTGGGGCCCAAACCAAGCCCGTGCATTCCACACACACTGCTACATCAAGGCGACTGCAGGCATCCAGTGTGGAAAAATCATTCTCCAAGAACAAGAATTTCCAACAGACAGCTTGCCTGTGGAAGTGAAAGACATGAGAGAACAGAGGGGGGCCACTCAAGCGAAGCCAAATTGCTTAGCTTGTTCGACCCCACAATTGGAGCCGCGTGTGCTGCAGTTGGTCCGCACCCAAAGTGGACATCGGCGGCACTGGTGGCCGAACAGGTGTTCCAGACACAGCAGCTAGAACACTTCCACCTTTGAGCTGCAGGCGGACTTTTCGGACAAATAGGATCTGGTCCAAACAGGTAACTTTGATGCTTTCTTGGCACAGGTGCCTTCCAGAAGAACTCTTAACTTCTACCTTGCACAGGCGAGGCCGAAGTCCGCTTCCAAGAAAAACAGAGTGTGCATCTTTCACTTGAGCTGAAAACATTCGAAGCAAAACGAAACGAGACAAAACGAGTGCGGTCACTAACCTGATTCAAAAGCACTTCTAACATTTGAGACAGACCGAAAAACACCAAAGATCAAATGACACTTTTTCCAAACGGCGCAGAATCCCGTCCGAAATCAGAAAATACACGGATCTGTGTTGCGGAGGGGTGGCACGGGTCTGTGTTGCGCGGAGATGTGGTGGAATTTGCTGAGCAACAAAGTCCCTTGAAGCGCCTGTTGCGATGTTGTCCGTCCGTGCTGAGGCGCAAGACCTCCAAAGGCCGAGATTTGTGACAGCGGATGCAACCTGCGCAAAGAGACACGCAACCAAAAAAGCAATTCATTGGTCTTGATACCTTTTATTAAGATGTAGCCACAATCATCTTCTAATCCAAGCATTGGAAAGAATGGTGTTTGCTTGCAAAAGTTTTAAAAAAAACCCGATTTGACGCTCGCACAGACTCAGAGAGCAAAAAGAAATTGAAGTAGAGGCGCAACTTCCGGCAGCGAAAAGTGCAGTTCGGACTGTTTGAGGGGACGCAACAGCCGTTCCAGCAACAGCAAATGCAACCAGAAGCAAGGCAGAGGCAAGGAATGTTACAAATGGGTCTCTGCTAAAAGAGCAAAAAAAATCTGGCAAGAGCCAGGTGAGCCCATGTCGTGCATGAGGGGTTTTGGAGTTAAGCACCGTGCACAAATTCCGAACCGTCAGCCGCACCTCTCGATACCATAACTCTACACAGCTCAAGAAGTCCTGTTCAGATCTGGTGGAGATGCCTTCCAGAAAATTCCGCCGCTCTTGTATGATCTGTTCCGGCCG